TGAAAGTTGAAAATCATCCAGTATACAACTAGATTAGTGATAACTGTCCACCTATTAATATTGACTAACGATCTTGTGGTCATTTTCTATCCTAGTGCCGCACATTGTGCTGCTGCTCTTGGCTCGGCAGCAACATTAAAGTTATTATCTCGCTATAACAATGCCATAGAGACTCCAAATCGAAATGGAGATTATCCATTACATGAAGCAGTTTTAGCTGGCAAATTAGGTAAATTAAAAGCGAACCTATAGCCATCCAGTATAACGCAACTAAGGAAATTTGTTCTCTACAGCTTACATCTTCTCACTGATTTCTTTACTGTATTTTGTATCCTAAATGGCAATTATAACGAGTCAATATAAACTAATACGTTTGATTTATATTCAAAGATGCTGCTAATTATTTGATCAAGCGAGGTTGCGATGTTAATATCACCAATAAAGAAGGTGCAACACCATTGCATTATGCAGCATCCATCAATCATACAGCCTTAACGAAGATCCTCTTAGAAGCTAATGCTGATCCAACATTAACTATGAAAAATAAAGACGTAAGTGCTAATAAACTATATCTAAATTCCAGTCTGCAATGGAGCATAATTCAATAATCATAATCTATCTGACTAACGTAGTCCTCAATGTTGAAGCTTTTTAGTAGATTGTGAACGTATATCGTAAACTAATAGCCTATCAAGATGCTAATTAGTGAAATGGGATACACACATGCTATGTCAAATTTTAACATAAGCCTTTTGCTAACAATTTATAATCGTAATGATTGAGTTTCTTGATCAACTTAGATAAATCGTTTGACAAATACTACAATTTAGCTACTTTTATAGAAAGACGAAATTATTTCATCGATAATATTTATCTTGTTCAGGGACATTTTGTAACACCAGTGCAAATAGCGCATAGCCATGGCAAAAGTGGGTCATCATGCTTAAAATTATTATTAAAAGCGAAGGGCAACAGTATTAGAAGCAATTTCATCATGGACAAAGCAAAAGAAGAAGATGAAGCCAATACTGTTAATAATCATGACCTCCCTCCTAAATTACCTTCAAATAAAAGCCATGAATTGGTACTACAGCCTAAAAGGACGTTTCGAAATCGACCGAATAGTACAAAAGATGGCGATCCTATATATTGGGTAAAAACGGGAGAATTAGGTCTATCTCTGGGCGCAACAAATGGTGATATAAAGGCTGATGAAAACCGAAAGTCTTCTTATATGCAGTCATCATCGGTAGAAATACGCCAGCATAGTTCTTCCGTTACTAGCGCTATAGAAGCCAAAGCCGAAGTAGCAACTACGATAGTAAAGGATTCATCAGACAATATCCACCCAACCGCTGCACCAATTATGCGTATGAAGAAAAATAATTTAGTTCATCAAAAGGAACAAGTTTCTCGCTATGTGCAGCGCCGAAGGCACTGCGTTAAATGGAAAGATGATTCATTTTCCGATCAAGAACAACCAAATGATTCTCTCCCTCAACCTGCACAAAATAATGATCTTAAGAATAATGAGCCCGTTTCCGAATTATCCCAATTGATGCAGGAACTAACTAGTAAGCGAATCCTTATGTCATAACTTCCTTTTCTCATAATTTTAGTTATCTTTGCATCTATTAGCTCCTAATTCTCATGTAATCCTATATTAGCGAGGCTTAATCATTTACTTCATTGGCTTTGTCGTTGGCCTGGAAACTCCTTAGTTAATTCCATATTTTCTATAATTTAATTCTTAGATGATTTCGATGATTATAACGATGATGAAGATAGCCCAGCTTTACGCCAAGTCCATCAATTGGCTAAGGTTTGTATCGTTATTTACTAACACAAACCGAATAAATCGATTTAAGAGGATAAATGGGCCAACGTTAGCCGCTGTTTTTGAAAAGAGCTAATACGATTTAATATTTCATCGTATAGGATTTAGCTGTCAACGATAACCTATAAGATTAATTTCGGGCTGTAATAACTAACCTCAAATTCACTTTTTCTAGGCCCAAACGCAACTTTTATGCTCTGTGCTGGAAGAAGAGAAGCGTAAAATGGAGGAAAAGGTCCAACGATTGTCTAGAAATGCTGCATTAATTGAGGTTGGCTATTAGCTTTGCTAGTGTCGCTTACTGTAGAGAAAAAATCTTATTATAGTTTAAAATATACTATAAAATACGAGTATACACTATAGAAATCTATTTTGTTGTACTGATGAAGTTGAAAGTGTTTGTGAATGAAAATATGTTAATATCATTTACTATTGAGTCTATATAAACTGCAGAATACAAATATAGATTCCATATATCGGTTTACTCTACTGATAAAACTGGAAGAGTATGCTAATAAAAGTCTGTTATGTCACCTGCTATCGAGTCAATAAAAGCAGCGAAATGTAAATGGCCAATATAGACCCACAATACTTTATTATCGAATGGATAGAGACAGGCTAAGTTATGCATAGTGGCATAAATTAAATTTATATCCCAATATTTTAGGCTGCAGCACAAACAGTTTCCGTTAAATTACAAAATAAATACGACAAGATACTAGATGAAGTGGATCAGAAAATGAAGGTAAACGATTCTCCTCACTTTTCGCTTAATCTTAAGTTTTATCTTTCTTTTTTTTGCTTTTTTTTGCCTATTTATCAATCATATGAACGTGTTGCATTATTTCTGTCTATAGCAAGTCCATCATGCTTTACAAAAGACCATTAACGAAGTTGGAGCAGAAAGCCAACATTTAGAAGAATACTTGCAAAATGGGGGTTACCAAAATCCTCCAGTAGTACAGCAATGGTTACAAAACAAGCCTCCCGGGAAAATTAACGATACCTATCCAGCAAAAATGAGCAGGTAAGCTATTCTGTAAATCTACCAGCAAATAGTCATAAATTGATTCATTTTGCTCCAATCCTAAATATTTTATTCAATCGATATACTGTATAGTATATGGTAGTTTTCATCTCCAATAGAAAATAGTCTTGTATAATTATCATAGTTTACATAGTAGGAATATTGTAGAAATAGCCATGTAAGTTTTTACTTCTTTGATCCCAATCGCAGAAAACAAAGAAAAAATGAAAAATTGTTAGCTTTAAAAAAATTGGTCGTCGATGAGGATGATTGGGCCAAGTTATCCACATTTGAAAGGCGTAAACAATATTCGAATACATTAAAGAACAAAAATTCGTCCAACAGATCGAGAAGTAGACCGAGCACTGGCTTAATATCGGGTATAAAATCACAAACTATCAGCTCTAGCTTTATCCTACTTGTCATGATTAATTAGACAGTTAAAAATGTAATTTAAGTTTCAACATGGTAGACGAAGCTCATAACTTATGGCGGTTCCCTTGATTTAGTTTATAGTAATACATAATAAGGTTTACTAGCATCTCTCATAACATTAATTTGATGTCCTTAGTCATAGCTTCAGCACTTCTTTAGTAGTAAAGCTAAGGTTATTAACAACAGTGATGGAGTGATTAGCTAAATTGTATTCATGCTAGCCCATACTTAATGTATCGATGACTTTCTAAAACTATATTAGGGCCAGAATAACTCTGTAAAGGTCACAAGATAGGAGTGATTTTCTAATATTATTTCCAGTAATCTATTTGGATTGATTTTTCTTCAATTAGGCTCTATTCCGCATTCGTTTAATCGTGACAGTTATGATAAAATTATACCGGCTCGTATTTCATCGTTTCGAAATCAATCAATTTATTCGCCTATGCCATATGTGGATGCTGATGAATTACAACTATTAACTATTCCAAACTACAGCAAAGCAGCTAACCGTAATTACCGATCCAAGTCTGCTCTACCTAAACCAAAGCAACACTCAGCATTATCAACTCGAAGTGCTAAAGGTAAATTATCTAGTATAGTAATTTATATTTATTCTTAAAATACTTTACACTTAATTTGGCTATAATCATTCAGAAACATAAAATCAATTAGCACTGATCCGATTTCTTGATCTTATAGGACCTACTACCAAGAGTATCTTGTAAATATGAGGCGTGCACAATAATATTTGGAAATCAACAATCGCAATAGAGCAAAATATCTATTTCAATTATCCCAGTACTAGAATATTGAATTTGTTCTTTTACTTTTTTCAAAGAGTTACTTATCTTTCTAAATATCTATCATAGAGAATGTAGATAGGATTATTTATAAATATTCGTTAATGTACTTTATTTATATATCTGAACGATCAAAAACTAATTCATTATTTATTAAATACTCCGGCTAATTTTATGATTAAGAATTTTTATTTCTTGAGAGTACAGGTATACATATATTAAACAGAAACAGATTTATGGCTTGAATACAAATTTATAAATAGTGATACAAAAATTGAAATTATTTGCTTTGTTTCTCAAATAAATCAACTCGAAAAATTAAAATTTTGACGTGGGTGAGGATATTTTCTATTATTTACTTAGCTTCAAATCTGTTTTCTGCTAGCTAGTATTTGAGAAATGACGATATCACATTCAGTGATTATGCTAGTGGGATTATCCTAAAATCCTTTAAGCTATTTACTAATAAAATGACTGCACTAGATGAAAATATTGATACATTTAAGCTAATTGAAACTTACAAGTAATGATTCGTGTAGTAGTATACTTATGCTAGTCAATATATTCAGTCATCTTTCAACAGTAAAATGTGAAATTCGTTTGCAAAGTCCATGTTAAAGGTTAGAAAAGCATTACATGTCAGTTTAAATAGACACATGGCCGACTACTTGCATTGCAATACGGCTGTTTAACTTAGTTACCGGTGGATGTTTCGACGTGTTCTACCAACATCACAAGTGAGATGGCCGTAATCAAACCTCTTTTAATTCTATCTCGCTAACTTATGTTGAAATACGCATTTTATCAATGTTCGTACTTCTACGACACACAATATCTAGTTGATATTCAACTCCTATACTTGTACACAAACAATGGCTTTTATTTTCGTAACACTCACATCACAAATCATTAACGCTACAAATTGACCGGATTAATGATATCGAGCGACAGCCGAAACATTTTGTACTTCCAAAAGGCAGATAACATTAGCGGACGAACTAAGGATAACAAACTGTTGGAAGTATGAATAATCATAATACTAGATAAAATAGAGGATAAGCATAGCTGCATAATATTTCAGATTAAAATGATTTGCTATCTCAGTTCAGCACAACATGAGCAAAAACAAATGAGATAATGGATAAAATACTTGTAGTATATAGATATTGGAACTATCGTCATATATTAAGACTGTAAAACAAATCATTAAGAACTGCTACTATCAACTTTCCACAATAAAATGGTGTTATCCCGACCACCGGTAGACAGCAATCTTGCATCATTTGGAGTAAATAATACGTTGGTGACGTGAGAGCTATGGCCAGTATACTGATTACATGAGGACTAATGATGCAAAAGAAAATAAACAATACTTCGTTAGCATTAGCCAATGACCATATAGTACAGAGAATTAAATATAAGTGGCATGGTTGTAGCAATGAAGCGCCTTACCTTTGGTTGATTGCATGGGTACTTGAATAAATTTACCATTCCAAAATCGTCACCAGTAGCTAATAAATTACCGTTAAATGACCTCGCAACAGCGTTGACATCAGTACCATCAGAACCTTCAGCCCAAATACCTGCATACGTATGTAGCGGCAATATCAGATAGTGAACTCATCATAAAATAAAATTGACACCTTAAGTTTAACTTATTGCATTACCGCAAACAGAATATCCAAGGACACAGCTAACTGTTTCCCATTCAACATCTCTCATAGCAATGGCAGAAGTTACTTGGGAACCCGAAGGTGCTTCCCCTATAAAATATTTTTCCACAATAAACTCGTCGTAATAAAACTGTAAGCATTTCATCGATATGAACGAGCGCGTCTCGTATACTTACAGAATAACAGTTCATAGTCACCAGATGTACTCTGCAAGTAATTGCTATCTTTTGACCAATCAATATGAGTGATGAAGCTCGAATGGCCCTAATATTTTTAAACAAAAGAAGAGAACACTTAAGAATTGCAATTAGAATAAAAATAGAGTCATATCTTGCAGTTAAAAACACTAACTGAACATTTTCCTTCCAATTTGTATTCCGATGGGTTATCAGCAACAGAATAGATATAAACGTAATTGTCATGCGAGGCAACTGCAATATATTTTCCATCTGGAATGAATGTTAAAGTCAAGTTACTAAATACGATATTATTAATAAGCCAATTCTAGTAACTATGGTGTACCAGGAGAATATCGAAGAACGTCAAGTTGTTCGGGTCCACTGGTGAATTCGGCTTTAATATCTCCATCTTCACTCGATAGGACGTACCATCTAAAAATTAAAATAGGTGCGTAAATGACTTATGTCCTTGAAGAAGCATTAATAAAAAGCTACAAGCTTGCAAGTCAACACTTACTTTCCAGTAATAGTTCCAATTGCAATTAGATCACCACTGGGGTTAAACGTTGCTGATTGAGCTCCTTCCTGTTAATTTATGGGGCGCAGATAATTAGTTCAGTATGTGCTTCCATAATAGCTAACTAAAGCCCTAACAAGTCAAGAATGTTGACATTGTAAGATACAAGAGTGTACAAACTTCAATAGATTTGGACCAGATAACTTCGCGCGATTCCAGGTTCCAAAGGTAAATTATTTTATCATAAGAACATGAAACGAATTTATCTCCAGCAGCATTTATACCAGCGCCCCACAGCTCGTCATGGTGACCCTGGATGAAAATAATTACACATCAGTTAAATCTTTTCATATTACAGTTACTATCACAAGCAGTAACACCAATCATAAAAGTCATTCACCTGATTAATATACTCTATATCGCTTTCACTTGAGAATAAATTATTGCAACGTATTAGATGATTGCGAACTGTGCCGACGACGAATGATCTACCATCATCGCATTTAATAGGTGCTATGCACCTAGGTGCGCCCATTTCTTCAGATAGCTATCAATCAGTGGGTAATATACGATTACAAAATTAATTTCAATATAAGGCATATTTAAATATAATTTAGTTATGTACTTCAACTGGCTCTGCATCTTCAATAGCTTTTAATGAGGAGTCCCACAGTTTTAGTTTCCTATCACGACCACCACCAGATACAATCTCGCCATTTGGTAATACGACCAAATCAAAAATGTTGCCCTGTAAATTTCAAATTTAGTCAATATTTTACAAAAATACTGAGAATTAAAATCATAGTTTCACAAAATTATACACTCAATGCTGTAAGATCATTTGAAAAAAGAAATTTACCTCATGAGCGTCTTTAAGCTCTTCAGTTATGCGATTACCACCTATATTATCATAAGGCCACCTAGTTATTATTTTTGACTATTTGCTATAATTATGATATCGTCTATTTTCGTACCTGCACCCCATACAAAAATATTGCCGTTACTATCTCCAGATAAAACATCATTATTTTCATTGAAGGCCAGGCAAAGGATTGCTTTCGGTTTAGGATGTTTCTGCAATGATAGGCGTCGTAGATATCGTTAGAAGAAGAAACCACTATAAAATGAAAATATTGTAAAATGATCCACGTCTACCTCAAAAATTCCCATTCTCTTTGAAATTCTTAAATCATCATCAATGGTCCAGAAACAGATATGCGATTTACCACACGTCACAATGCCATCATGATCGTTTGGTAAGAACGATGCAGCAAAAACTGATTCACCGTGGGACTAAGTCGTAAGGATTAAATGGAAAGTTAGCAACGGATATAAGAAGTACATAGGTAGTATGTAGTAATGATGAGATGGTATAAATTTTATTAAGCAACTTACCTTGGTGTCCAAAAGCTTCTTTTTCTTTCTCCATTCCCAAACGGACAGTACGTGATCATTAGATTCGTCCACAACAGCTAAACGATCTCCATTATTTGACTATGATTGACGAATAATCAAAATAACGCGAAAAATTACGGTTTCAGTTCAATTAGAGAATTGTATTGGTAAAAGTATGATCATTACCTTACTAAAGGCTACGCAAGCTACAGCCCTATCAAATTCACCCACACCAATTACAGCTATAGTCTTTAAGGTACTAGAATCCCAGATACGTACATGTGGCTGATATGCAAAATAAAGTTGATCGTTATTATCAAATCCAACCAATTAGGCTATCTATGTATTAGAGTTGATAATAAGCTATCTAATAAACGTATCTGACCTTGCCAGCATTCTTCTCATGTCCTGCTACCTGTCCAGATGCCATGGTAACTCCATCCGGATGGATAGCTAAGCTATTTAGCGAATTCAAAGATCAATCAGTTAATAAATGGAATGGATAAGTTGATATAGTAAGCGTTGACGTGATTTTTTCTTAATTTTAACTTATACCTTTTAATGTCATCTGTATGTTCAAGATAATGACGTTGAGTTGAAGTGGAAGGATTATAAGAAACAACAACTCCAGCAGTGAAGTAGACGATATCGTCGCCTACCAAATAGATATTGTCGCGCGAATCCCTGCCTCGATAACCAAAGCTGCTTAAAGTCAAGGAATTCATCAAGATATAGCAATAGTAAATTGGCAAAAATGTCGTACTATGCATCAGAGATAACTTTTTACGCTAAAAAAGATACACCCATTCTAACGATAGGGCCTCAGAAGGAGCATCAATAGGCTTAGGTTCTTTAGGTATAGATGTTGAACTTGGAGCGTATAGTAAAACTGGACGACCACGTAGATAAATGCGAATGCTTTGCTCATCTACAGTATAAGCGGTCAGATATGTTTTATAGAGTTATTCCTTTGTCAAAAATGAAGTCATTCGTTCAATAATTAATTGTTAATTAAGGACTAACCAAGGTCGATTTTAGAATCAACAGCATCCTTTGAAGATGTGCTATGTGAACTAAATCATTAAAAATATAAAATATTTAGATAGCATTCTTTGTTATAGTGTATAATAAAGGGTTAACTAAGCGCAAATTAAGTTATCAGTAGTAGCATTTCGATACAAAATCAATATTTGTATTATGACATACCTGACATGCTTTTTTGCTAACTTGCTTGTTGTATGTTTCTTGCTGGATATCGAGATTGAAGGAATCCGAAATACAAGACAACAAGGATCAAAACAATACGTTTTCACGAAGTTAACGTGTAGCTACGATAAACATCATCAATTGCTATCTGCACATTTATTATTAAGATAATTAATTTCTATCATTGTCCAACAAATGATGGTCTACAGTATGTCTGGACTAATTCTGTATAGTAGGATTGTCGCCTTCAGTTAGTAAAAATATAGACGGCATGTTATTAACGTGTCTATTAATAAACTATTTCTTACGTACAGTACTGCATATCCCTGATTGATCAACTAACCTGGCCGACCGATCACTTGCGGGTGTGGTGGTAGTCCTTTTTGTAGCAGTACTTGGTCTTGATATTGCTGAAGATGGTGTGCTAATTTTACTTTCAGACGACGGTTTGCTTGGTGTACTTACTGCTATAGTAATTAAAAAGTATTATTGAATTAGACAATAAACTATATATATGGTATAATAAATTTTAATTAAATATTAATATCCCTTTCACACTATTTTCAACTTCATTCAGTAACTTGGTCAAGTTTACCATAAATAATTATTACTATGTTACTTGAGAAGGGGTCGATTTTAGTTCAGGTAATTGATACATTAATGTGGTTAACATTAGAAATCGAGCATGATTTGATAAAAGAGTATTATGGTGATATAATGAACATGAGGTAATTCGTAAAGCAATTCGTTATTGCTTTACGAATTATGATACATTAGGATGTGATGGCAATTGTCATGTAGAGTTGAATCTGAAATTGGATGAACTTTATCCGCGTTACGATAGGTAGTGTCAGTCAGTACTTGCTGTAGGAGTATCATTATGCCGGGAATTCAATTTGGTTAGGATAGTATTAGAAAAGTTAGACTAGGCACTATGAATACATTCCCGGTGCGATATTCCATATCTGCGGTAATATTGTAATCAATGTGATTAAAACCTGAGACGACGCAAATCTTTTGTAGATTAATGCGTGAAACAATTCATGGAATTAAAGTATACTACTCATTTCTTTCAATAGCTAACAAAACGCCAGTTCAAAGAGTTATGGCTATTAGACTATTTTATCGGAGTTATTTTGATGATCATCAAAAGGATAAGGTGATTATCATTGAAAAACACTCTCCAGTAGGATATTAAAACTCAATTAACGACTCGTGAGCACTCAATAGAAAGGTGCCAATGCAGGTGTGGCGCTGAATATCCTTCCATTGCTTGATGAATCCGTCCATGCAGTTTCTACGTTCGTCAATGACTACAACAGACATAGCGATTAAGCCAAGTTTTCTATATTTCACCTTGATCGTGATCTTCATTGTTGCTGAAAGGTATAGCCATCAAAGGTGGAACGATAGGATAGATTGGTTTGCCTTGATTTTACTGTGCATTGATCAACGTGTCATGTTGACGATTCTTTGCAGTAGCAATCAAGTGCAAAGTGATTCAATCTTGTTTATGGATGGACTCGATACAGATTGTATCAGACCCATTGGTGATGAAACCAAGTGGAATTTAATTCAATCACGGCTTTGAACGATATGGGCAAGACCTGGCGTGTTTCTTCTTTCTTTCTTTTGATGTAATTCATAATTAAGTTATCTCAACAATTCATTCAAATTGAATATCATTGATTTATAGCCTTTTATCCTCAGCACGATATGCTTGCAGTTTCAAGGAAAACTGGATCGATCGGGTAGGTATAGATAGTAAAAGTAACGTATCGTTTTCCATTTTTTAGGGGTGATATTTTACAGTAGAAACAACAACGTTTGGAGGGGGGTACTAAAATTAGTCTCTTTCAAGTCATGATAAAGTAGGCTACAGTAGGCATAGAAGAGATGGATGACCCATTAGACTGCCTAATAACTGACTGGTTAAGTCAAGTAGAACGTGATATAACAAGCAAGACAATAACTGGTCATTTGAAAGGCAAGTTCATTCTTGGATAGATGTGGAAAGTATTATGCATCAGGATACCTTTCTTACTACTGCGAGGACGACTGGTTGAACTTGGCCGACTTGAACGGCTTTGGCTTGATGATGATGATGTTGTTGTAGTGGTTGTTGTTGGTTGCGATTCGACTAAGCGGCAAACTCGAGCTAAAGCCGTTTCCAAGATGGTGATTCGGTCATCTTGATGCTTGATATGTTGTTCAAGATCTTGAATTCGCTCTTTCAATTCTTTTTCCACATCACTGCCATGCATCGGTTGATCTTCCGAGCTGGTTTCGTTATTATTCTCCATGTCTAGTCTAGTTGAAGAAGCAGAAGAAAAATGACTGATCCATAAACGTTGGAAAAGGGACAGACTTTCTTGCTCAGCCTGCGACTAGTCTATGCAATATACTATTGTATCGGTCGATTAGTACTGCTTTTGTTGTGGCTGGAAGAATTCAATTCAAAAGGATTGAGAAAAAATCAACACGTATGCATCCTCTTTCAACTCTTTGAAAATGCATACTTCTACCTTTGCATGGCAAATGGATCAAGTTAATAGGAAGAAAGGAAGGAAAATCAATTTTATTCCACTTACTGTAATGGCTGCCAATGAAATTTTTGGCTGGCAAAGAAAGAATTTTTTCTTAGACTGCAATGTCAAGCTTTGGCTGAACGTCTGACGTGCGACAGTCTAGTCAAGTCAAGCAAGATGCGACACACTCCCTTGTCACTTGACCCGTTGGACGGTCAATCGACTCGTCGTCACTGGCTGCACGGCGTCGACCTCAACCACTCAGTCAACCGTGGTGAATGGGTGGTGATTCACCGACGATCCGTCACCCAGTGGACAAAAGAGTACCGCGACGTTGCCTTACTGTACCGTACGGCTTGCTATTGTTGGGCGAAGGCTGGTCCCATAGCATCGATTTCTAGAAGGTACTGCACTATGTACAGTACAGTACTGTAGACGTCGATGATGCAGGAATACCGTACCATGAACTGGTTTTGCTATACTGTACAGTGTACAGTACAGTATGGAAAGCACGATGAATACTCTACAGTGTACAGTACAGTACAGTACACACATAGCATCGACTTCTACAGTACAGAAGGTACAGTACTACAGTACACTATGTACTGTAGACGTCGATGATGCAGGAATACTGTACCATGAACTGGTTTTGCTATACTCTACACTAGTATGGAAAGCACAATGAATACTCTACAGTGTACAGTACAGTACTGTACGGTACATAGCATCGACTTCTACGGTACAGAAGGTACAGTACTACACTATGTACTGTAGACGTCGATGATGCAGGAATACAGTACAGTACAGTACTATACTGTACCATGAACTGGTTTTGCTATACTGTACAGTACAGTATGGAAAGCACAATAAATACTCTACTGTACAGTGTACAGTACAGTACAGTACTGTACATAGCATCGACTTCTACAGAAGGTACTACACTATGTACTGTACATACTGTACTGTACTGTAGACGTCGATTATGCAGGAATGTCATGAACTGGTTTTGCTATACAGTACTGTACGGAAAGCACAATGAATACTCTACAGTACAGTGTACTGTACCGTACGGCTTGCTATTGTTGGGCGAAGGCTGGTCATAGCATCGACTTCTAGAAGGTACTACACTATGTACTGTAGACGTCGATGATGCAGGAATACAGTACTGTACCATGAACTGGTTTTGCTATACAGTGTACAGTATGGAAAGCACAATGAATACTCTACAGTGTACAGTACATAGCATCGACTTCTACAGTACAGAAGGTACTACACTATGTACTGTAGACGTCGATGATGCAGGAATGCCATGAACTGGTTTTGCTATACTGTACAGTGTACAGTATGGAAAGCACAATGAATACTCTACAGTGTACTGTACCGTACGGCTTGCTATTGTTGAGCGAAGGCTGGTCCCATAGCATCGACTTCTAGAAGGTACTACACTATGTACTGTAGACGTCGATGATGCAGGAATACCAAGAACTGGTTTTGCCATACTGTACTGTATGGAAAGCACAATGAATACTCTACAGTGTACAGTATATTCAAGTACTGTACCCCACAAAAGTCAACGTCTCAGCTTCATGAACACGAGGACTGTACACTGTTCAGTAGGCGCAACAGCAGAGACCCCCTCTGGGGGGTGTCTCGTACTGAACAGCTGAACCTTGAGCGTCATCGTTGTTTACAGTACTGTAGACTTCGATAAGCGTCAACGTACTCACACGTCATCCTTTTGAAAACACGACTGCAAAAGTCAACCGGATCAACGTCAACAACGCTTAGCTTCACTTCTGCCCAAAGGTCATTCATCAGTGACTCAAGTCAAGTCACTCGGCAGATGCCAGCTGTAGGGTTTTGAGATCGCTTGGCAACAGCATTGGTGATCGTGACTGCACATTCCTCCTGGCTAGCCATGATGGCAACTTTCCATGCTCAGCGCTAATTTTGCTGCTGGATGATGATGATGTGGAAGAGGGAGGAATGAGTTTATGATGACCAAGCCAGCAAGATCATAATTGCATGCACCCCCGATCGCGAGCATGTTGCACGTTCTTTACCGTCGGTTACATCGTTTAGCCGAGAGGACTACCTGGGAGAAATTTTATGCAGCTAGAGCCAAATCCGATCCATTGGATTGGTTTCTCGATTATCAACACCTTAAAAGCGTTCTACAACCATGGATTTTCTCCAATTACCATCAGGATTTTGCTGTGCTCGATTTAGGTTGCGGCATTTCTGACATGGCAGCTCACATTTTCCTTGACCTGTAAGCATCGACTGTCAATAGTACATCCATTACATGATGCTGATGCTGACGATACTGTACACACTAGTCTAGAGTACAACGCAGATGGAATCAACAGAATAGCTAGTTTTCCATTTGCAATAGCAATTACAATACGGATTGTTTATGTTCGTTTGTGGATAGACAAGTGTCGTGGTCAATCCCCGAACGAATGTTCAAATCTTGCATTCAATTCGGCGCAATATCAATTATACTTATGGATCATGTCCATTTGCCAATGGGTCAAGGTGATCTTCAATCCCCGAAATGATATTGCAATCTTGCCAATTCATTCTATTTATTGAGATCGTTTACAGGCCGTGAAAAAAGGACAGTTTCAACCATAGATAGGTGATTAATGTGTTACATGAACCTGCACCAAGTAAAGCGTCTTCAAAATATTCGCCATCATGTTCACAATAATGCTACGCCAATTCATTGTATTGATTTTGATCATCATAGGCAGTGAAAAAGGAAGATTTGAACCATACATTAGTTTGTAAATTCACCTGCTCTAACGAATACTCAAGATACTGTAGTTACTATCATGGCTAAAATAATGCTGCATAAATCTCAACGTGTAATTAGACTAACAAGAAGATCGATTTGTCAAAGTAGCTGTACCAAAATTATATTCCAGATACACATAGATTAATCTCAATGTGTAGTTGAACTAACAACCAGTGTTCGGGCCACAAAAAAATTGGACCGTGTAGGCGTAGCAGCGGTTTGTCTATTCACTTTGTTACGGCTGAAATCGAGATCTTAATAACTATAATATAAATCTTAGAGATGAAAGTCATCATTGGATGCAGCATTTCCCACTATATGAGTAAGAATAATGGTTTGGTAAGATTGAAACATCATGTCGGGCATTGTCTAATTTCGGGGTTTTGTCCATAACTTGTTCGTACACTCTATCCATAAATGATACACAAGTTATGATATTATGTCGTAAATGTTCTAGCTGTATAAAACCAATTCATTCTGCTAAGGAATTAATGATTGCGCTTATCCATACAGGCTCAATAAAACTGGAAAGGTAGATTGCATCGATTTTTCACAAACAGCTATTGAAAGAATGCAAAAGAAATATAAACATTGCTTCAACCATTCCAATCATCGATTATCCTATATATGCGCGGATGCCACCTCATTGCCGTTTGCTGATTGTAGTTATGATATGGTACTTGATAAAGGAACAATGGATGCTGCCATTAGACATCAAAATGGAGAAGTTATGGGCGAGAAGATTATAGCTGAAGCCCTACGAGTCATGGCATGTCCAAGTCAATTTGTGCAAATTTCCGATGAAGATCCTGATGTTCGATTACAACTGTTGTATCGTTGCTGCAATCTCTATAGGGAAAATACCAAAAGTTACCAAACTTCTGTCAAATTTCGAGAGTTGGGATCATTCAGTGGTATAGAATATCTGATGTACACGATTGAGAAAAAGTTAGCTTAGACTTGTCAGTGGACCTGCTGCATTGCAGTTTATCATATAGTATACATACAAGTATTACTTGTACATGCAGTATATGGAAACGGTAGAGAGTAAAGTATACCTGTCTAATTGCTATATACCGAACAAAAGTAAGTGCTATCGTTGTCTTACTAGAAATCATTTTTGCATGTTTACAGACAATATAGTAATCATGCTGTATTTATAGAAATCTTGCACATAAATGATCATAATATTGAACCTGTACTTAATTAATCATAAGCAAGTATATCTGTCTGAGTAGATAAAAGCTTATTCTCACTTAAAAGTAACGCCATAAATACTCATGACAGTTATTTTGGGGGAGAGGGAGCGCTAGTTATTCGATATAATTACATATTTATACACATTTTCATACTTGCAATTGATAATACATGTTTTATTGCAGCTGCCTATCTACTTTGATACCAATCAATAACTTGATTGTCACCAATACGATGTATAGTTATTTCTTGATGATGCTATTTTACTGTTGATGGTGGTAGAAATGATAACGATTAAAAATCGCAATGACACAGTAATGATATCAAGGTTGCTGTTGTAAATTGCCTTCGGTGATGTACGGGCACAATTTTATTGAACTTGTTAATTAAGCATCAAGGTACTATCCAAACCACAGCTGTATAGGATGTTAAATTAAGTTCAATACACATCGTACATCATATTTTATATGGATAAGCACATATAAGTCTGTACAATACCATATGTACTCGTATTAGGCTACAGTGATGCATCTTTCTATCACTACGTTTGAATTATAAAATATACGCATATGGATATATCACAATTAGTATGCCATGAGTTGTACACATGGAATTCCATATCAAGATTTAATAACGTTATTACTATGCATTCCAGCAGCAGCGTTGAGAATTCGATTTTAGACATCGCCTTATTGTCATTTTGGTTAATAAAAAATATGTAAAACTCTCTCTGTATTCATAAGATTGGACTTTAATGAATAAGAATAAATGCAATAATTATGAGCTGGACATCATTTGATTGCAAATTTATTAGAAGGCCGATAGCTATCCATATTTCGCGGTATCAATATCGCATGCATGATTCTGATGTGTTTAATCGTATTGAAGACTAAGCAGCCAAAAATGGACCTTGCTAAGTAATATCTATTGCACTATTTTCTTACTACAAAAACTACCTACTCTGAAGTAACATAAACGGCAGAATGGACATTGATCACGCGCTATAAAGCGTTTAGCGGCATTTCAAGGCTGAGTAGAACTGTCGTCATTTCTCCCCGCATTACTAAAGAATGGCATTATGGAGTACGTTAATTCCCTCAAATTGTTACATCAATCATCTTTTATTTTCAGTAAAAGAAAACAGCGACCAATGAATAATCTTGGATATAGCTTTAAAGACTCTCTTAATATGCGTTGTTCCTTAGAGGTTATTAATTCATTAAAATATCAAATTCAAAATTGAATCGCAATATATTCAAAATTAATTGAAGGCCCAAAGTATTTTTACTCGTGGGCTCCAGTAAGAGATGAAGACCTAATAGCCACGGACAGTCTGTCAACATTAAAAAATATACACTTTCAAATGATTAATAAGATCACTATTAAAAGCAGTGTGTAATGTTAAGAAATTGTCGGCATACATAAAGCAAATTGGACTTTAAACAATCTATCTATAGCAATCCGCATAAATAGTACTCGCTTATGTCATTTTTGCCTCCTCCGGCAGAAAAGTATCAGTCAGAATCTTTCAGCAATAATTAATGGCAAAAATTGAAAATAATAACATAGTGTAAATTGAGTTTTGTAGCCAATTGCTGACAGTTTGAAGGAATAAAACAAAAATGCCACTATAAATTTCATAAAATACTTTAATGTTTTCAAAGTTTATACAGATAAAGGTCTGTTAATTAACGCAACAGCCAGGATGATGGATCTTCAACGTTAAAACGGAATTGGGTCATAAATTGACTGGCGCATGGCTCATCGATTAATCGAGCATCAAAGGATAACGTAGCTGCTACAGTATCGATTGGATAACCATCTTCACATATGATTTTATTGACTGACCCAACGGTTAGTACAGCGGACGTTGGTGGTAATACAATAGCGGTCGAACTTTTAATTCCCATAGACGACATACAAGTAATGCTATTAAATAGGGGCATGGAGAGAACTATTAGCGAACATAACAATTTAAGCAAGCGAGCTCATTGAAAAACCATTCTAGTTATCGTATGTGACAACGTTACGTAATCAACAACAAATTGGTTGGTTAATTGATTTTATTGTATGATGAAACTAACTTAAATGAGCCAGCGGTTGAATCTTCTAGCTGATTTTCTTTACTATGAGACTGCCATAGCTAAAATGGTATTAGACAGATGTAGCATCGATTGTTTAGGACAGTACTCGCTATAATAGCATAAGGAATTGATAACAACTAAATTTACAATAGGCATTTTCCTTTACAAATTTATTTATCATTGATTATACTAGCAGTACCTTTAGCTTGCTGGCAATTTCTGATACTCGAAGAGATGTAGCATCAAAAAGTGGGCGAGTGATTTTTGTTCGTGATGCCCATGTCGATAAAGAAATATCTATACGCGGTAATGACTGTACTTCATCATCAACTAAGGCAACGTTCATATCAGGATTGGTCTACAACCGGAAATAAGATTTATTCGTATTAAAATTATTTTCCAGTAAAATCTAAAGTTTTTTAGGTTATCATCATTGAAAACAATTTTTTATAGGAATATCGTACAATTCTAGTTCTCACCTTTAAAGCAAGTATAGCGGCTTTTACAATTAAACTATCCATGGTAATTTCTAAATCTGTATCATTTTAGGTATGACAAATTGGGTAATATAGCAAGTTTATAACTGGAGTTGCGTGGATGAAATTGTATTCAATACTATTATGTCAATTTACCAGCCATATCTTTGCAAAATTTTGCTAGATTATCGGCATAACAGTCCACAACTACATACGCTTGGGGTACTTGCCACTAAAAATTATAGAGCAAAAAATTGTATCTTAGTGTCAGGCATACAAATCATTTGTTAACTGCAATTATCAGACGATATTCTAAGCCCAGTACCTTTGATTCCGTTACTTTTCTCGCAAGTGAACGCTCCGATTGGGTGTTTTCAATATCAACATAACCTGCGCTAGACTGCAAGAGAGATGAAAATTTTTTCAATCAATAAGGATCGCAAAACGCTAGCTAATACCTGCAGAATGGCGATAACTAGACTACAAGAGTGATGCAATTTTTAGAGTCAATAAGGACTGTCTAACTCTAGCTACCGTAATGCCTGCAGCATGACGACAACTGTCACTAAAACTATTGCCTAATGACAACAGTACTTTACTACTTTACTGGTGTAGTTTATTAACATTTTTACAACTTTGGCCTCACAGTTCGACGTTAACATCTTTTCAATAGGTTTCTTACACATTAACTGACCTTATTATTGGGCATAGGCACTGATTTATCCATTTTCGGCATTTTTGGAGATTGGATAGGTGGTAAAGGTTTTGGAGGAGATCTAACCGATTCCACTTTTGTTCCTATAAAATAATCGTACTCAATCAATGTTGACGCATTACATCAATTCATTAACCATTCAAAGGGAATAATCCTTTTAACATTGCATCTGATACATTTCAATTTGGCATAATAGCAATATCGATCATTCTTTGGAGTTACCTGCTGATTGAAAATCTTTACTTTCTAAGTAGGCCAGGACATCACTACGGAATGATTGAAAGGATAATTAACACAGTCTAAATCATTCATTGAGCATACGCTCGTATATCCAAAGAAATTTGGAATAATAGTTATCTTGCTTTTCCATCAGAAACGTAAAACATTATAAGCCATTTACCCTTTTAAGATACGTCCATTTCGACCGGTTGCAGTAACTTGATTTGGATCGATCTTATGGGTTTCGATAAGACGACGGACAGCAGGTGATAATATTGGAGATAAATAGCTATTGTGAAAAAGTGTAACCCATCAATTGACTTCAAAGTTTACTATTCAGTTACCAAAATTAGTGAATACGGAATAGTTACTGACGTTCAATGATGAAAACATACCTGCTGGAGGTTAGTAGGGAACAACAAGGTATAACTATGACTTGATTAGATAGGAAGCTATTGACCTTTCTTAAATGGAGAACTAGAAATACGCAAAGTAATCCATTGAATTGCGTTAATTGATTATAATATTAGAAAAGCACCTTTTCTAGTTTCTTTCACAAATATGAGCAATGAATGTCCTAATAAGATGTTGAGTTTGTGATAAGCATGGCCGTAGTTGCCATGTCTATTCTCGTAGTACCACAGTATAACAAGTTGACAGACTTTTCTAAACTAAAGCGAATAATGAAGAGTATCTATTACATTGTTTGTGGTCAACTAACAGAAGTTCGTCATTCATGATGACTTAACATAGGTCCATCACAACGAATTCTATCCATGTTGTCTAAGAAGTTGACAGAGTTTGTAGCTACAGTCGTTTATGATTTGATAACAGATATTATTAAGTTAAGAATAGTGAAATTAGCTATCAGTGTAGTCAACGAATGGAATTGGCATCAAAATGTAAATAAGAAAGTGTACAACATTGAATGCTGTATTCCTGTTATTTGTACTGATAGTAACGATATTCGTAGTTATACGCGTACAAGGTAAGGAAGCGTTGTTTTGAAGTTTGTTCAAGAAGTAGACTAGGCTAGACTGTCTAATTTTGATGTGGAATACCTTAGTTTCCACATACTTTCAAATCATGATAGTAGCTAGTGAACATTACTAAATCGTTGTAGTTGTTCGTAAAATGACATTGTTGTTTCAGATACTTTCGCACTGAATGACAGAAATTAAATTGTCTTATTCCAAGTTGATGTTATAAGTTTTCTTAATTTTTCTGCTGAAATGTTCCTATCTTGGCCTATATTATGGTATAACAACATCATCTGCAAAAGACTTTATGAAGAATCCCTTCCATCTATGCGTGTTATCATGTAACCTTGTGCATCGACGATTGCATGACTGAAAAAAGTAAGACTTTACTACAGTGTGTAGCAGGTTATTTGATCGACTGTACCATCGTAGACATTCTTGTCCAATCCACCGCTTCCTACTTCACTGTATGCTCTCTTTGACTGTTAATTGTACTTGTCTAGCAGGTAAGTCAATGATCAAAGTTGGAATTTTAAATTTTAAGCATGAATCGACTCGTTTCAACTACCATCGTTGTACAATTTGCTTTCAAAGTATGTCGATATCCGCAATCAGATGTGCTTGCTCGCTGCCCACTCTTGTCAAGAATGTCAACTGTACGAGAGTACCTTAGTCTAGCATGGAGGACAAGCGTGATGGACATCTTTTCATTGCTCGTCATCCTAACAACAGCAAGAATAGAACAACTAGTTTACCCTGAAGTCGTATGGATGTTCTTGCAGGTAAAGTAAACCTATGGATGGCTGCCATTCGACCCAAGTAAGATAGAAGATGATTTGGAAAATAGAAATGAGAAGTACAAGCAGCCTCGGAGTCGTTTACCAGCTGCTTGTGCGATTACCACGGAGACGAAAAAAGGCCCAGCCAAGTAGACAGTAGGTCCAAACTGGCTTCAGTACCCATTCGTACCCATAGTCCGACTAGACCGTCCAGGATCATCTGTCAGTCCAGTAGTCTACAGTGTACAGTAAGTTTTCTACTGTGAAAGTACTGTGGTACAGTAGACTGTACTAAACCACCAAGTGGTCATGCGTAGTCCTACGGTAGTGTTACCTCGTCCTAGCAGTATCAGCGACGCCTACTCGTCGAACAGTATCGCCATAACTCTTACTAGTTTGTTGCATATCGTTTTTTACTGACAAAATCAGCATTTCAAACTTCATTACAGTACTACAAGAAAGCTTACGAGTTATGGATGAGTCATGGTGGAAAAACGACAAGAAGAGTATCGATGAAAAGGAGTATTGTACTGGATAAATATGGACAACTCGATACTATGCTACTGTAGGATAGTATCGAGTAGTCCATGACTGTAGTCAGCACTCCATGGAAAGCATCATTTATGGCTGGAGTAAAACTATCCCCAATCAGGGACAACGCAATCAAAATTACAATTTTTGAATGCAGCAGTCCTTGACACTACCATTATTGAATCAAGAATAATGTCGTCCAACTGATTGTGAACTATCTGCATGACATACTGTACAGTTTACAGGAGGTAGGGCATGCCTGGGACTATTTTGAATGGTTGTGAAAATCGTGCAGGAATAAAATGCTTGCAACTGCTTATCATTGAAAAGTGGCCATGGTTAATCATCGCAGAATTCATCTTAGTCGTTGTGAAGAAGAATGCGTACCATTAGAATGGGAACTACTTGTATTGGTGCTTGGATCGATGATGCCATGTTGACTGGCTGTCGATCTCTCCGATCACTCCTTGCTTCCAACCTACAGTACACTCACTCTACAGCACAGTACAGTGTACTGTATGTCTGATTGTCAGTCCATCACCAGCCTACAGTACAGGTTACAGTGGTCCTGTGCCGGACTGTACACTCTACACTCTACACGACTACGCCTACTGTGAAGAGGTCCAGTAGGACATTGCTGATGGAAATCGACTACAGCTATGCCAAACATGCGTACGCTTATAGGCGCTGTCCAGTGGTCCAGTAGTCCAATACAACATGGACTACTATCGCTACACCCTACATCAGGCTACGTGGACGGTAACGGTTGAGACGGCGCGGTTGACGTGTTCAACGCGTTCAATTGTTGCTGTTGTGTAGTCAATTTGTTGTGCTCATTTGCTTTCCCTTTCCGATTATATCAACAACTCTGCCCATTCTCAAGAACTTTCACCATGTTAGATGTAACGGATACACAAAGTAAGTATCTTCTATCACCTCTGGATTAGTAGATTAGAATAAACTGGTGTGCAACGCTACTATGGACATGCTCAACTTATTCTACCGGCTGATGGATGATGGGAAATACAGTCATTTGATCTGATGAAGCAACATTGGTGGTGCATGTCTTGATAACGGACCAACGACGTTGTTATGGATTGGACACAGTTTGAGTAGCTATCGTATGTCGAAGGCGTGTGGATAGTACAACAATCATGATGTGCTATCTGAACTACAGTAGATCATGGCAAAGTAAATGAGTGATAGGATAGACTTTGAATGAAAGCAAAGATAGCTCAGCTTTATGATTGAATTGGACAATCGTTGATGGTTGCAATGGATGAGTATCTGGGCAAGTGGAGTCGTTGAAATAACGCAAGGAGTCCATTCATGAATGATAGGTTATATGATCAGTCTTCTAGATTCAGTTTACAGCCCAATGGAAGTATTGACAAATCAATCAGTGGATACAAGCTTCCCTTTAGGATGGATTCATCATTTGTGTTTGACGATGTTGTGGATAGAGTCGCACTTACGATAATCGACGATATACCATGATTGGGATGTTTTGATACTTGCCAATTGCAGTCGATTAACTAGTGCTAATAGATCAAAAGATCATTTTCTACCCGTATTCAAGCATTTCTAATTCAATTTAATCTATTCTAGAAATTGGTATAGGAGTAACTGCATTTGGAATGTTCTTCCTCTTTCTTGGTATGCTTATGCTTTTTGATAAAGCATTACTGGCGGTAGGCAATGTAAGTAGATGATTACCAATGTTTTCATCCAAGTTGAATGATGACCATCGATCGTGTCAATATGCAATCTAATCCTTGCGCTAAATATGAATAGTAGTTACACTTTTGACGTAGTATCTACTCTATACTGAACAAGCGATCCCAATATTGTCTTTTATCTTCAAGCAACATACTACAATGGAATGCTAGCTCTAGTCTAGATTCCTAAGTTGATTCTACTTGACACAATTCGTCATACGGAGAGTATCACGATGTAGGCAAAATGAATAGTATATATAGATACAAACTATTCCTGTGATGTAGATGCAGTGTGTATTCATTATTGTTTACTCACGATGATGATAATTTGGATCAAAATATTCCTCGTTACTTCCAATCAACTAACTAATATGCGTATTCCAACCTCAGTTGGTTACGTGACTGTTATACCATTGCCATAAACTCCAAAATAGATGTGCAATACTGTATAATCCTAATTAAAGTTAATTGCATTAACGGACATCACCCATTGACGTCAGCTACGAGACAGAAACTAATCGTATTAGGGCTCTATTATACTTGCTAGTATTGCATTGGTTTTACTCTCAATATCTTCAACTAGAAAATATGCCAACCTTGAATTGATTGTCCAAGTATAATAATCCAATTAATCAAATTGAATGCGGCGGTGGTTTTTATCCCTGATCAAAATTCATTCCCTACGAGCATCATCCACTGTCAAATTTCATCTAGTATTCACTCATTCGCACCAAGAAGGTTTGCGATAAACTAGGCTTAAGTATGGATCTTGAACTACCGCCTCTCGGTATTATTACGCAGTTATACAATAATTTAGATAGAAATGCTAAGTAGACATGTTGTCAAATAGAATGGCAACATGGGAATAAATTGGATACGAGTAGTACTTTAAATTCCTAGAGGAAATAGCGCTACGCTAGTACTTCTGGTGTCTCCATCGAAGTGAATTGAAAACGCTTATAGAATATCTTCATGAAATGAATAAAATCGTAGATTCAATACAATAGCTTAACTGAATAGTCCATCGTTTAATTGTTCCAAGCATCTGGTGAACTTGACTATTGTAATATAAATTTTGTAAATTAATCGCATCAATTTTTTTCATCTTTCACAGTTAGTCATGTTATGCCACTCATTTATCGGTCGCCGATAAACTAATCGAGAGAATATGTGCCTACGCTACGTTGAAGGATCGGATAGTTATCATTTGTAGATAAAGTGTATCTCACGATATCGGTATAATGCTAGATTACATACACCTTCTAAAATTACTTTTACTCTATTAATAGGTAATCAAGGAAAAGATGAGTGCTGTATGACTCATCTCATATCGTTGTTACATTAAAATTATAAGTTCATATTGTGTTGAACTGATTCGGTTCTGCCATGTAAATGCAGTCAATGATTATTTTTCTTCTCCATTCTCTTGGTAGTACAATATCATAACGTTAAAGGGAGAAATGGCTAAAAAATAATCACAATGAATGCAGCCCGCATAAAATTGCTATTATAATTATTATTAACCATCTACAATCCTGATGTCGAAAGGGGTCTGCTGGTGCTTTGTTAATCATAGAGAGTTCCCTCTTTGTACGCATATATTACAATAGCAACTGATAAATGAATTTTGAACACTATTACATTTACTTTACAGATTCTATTTCTATCTGGCATTGGTATGGTTATAGGATTAGCTAGAACATATAGCTTTTTCTTTCAACGACATAAAATGAAAGGAACTGTATGCTTTTTCTTGGGTATTGTAATTGTAATATTTGGTTGGCCAGTCGTAGGGATGGTCATCGAAGCGTATGGATTCTTCTTATTATTTAGGCAAGTACTTACAACAATAGTGCACTCACATTAATAATGTTAAAGCGTTCGTAAATAAGCAAGCTTCCAATTGAAATGCATATATTATCATAGAAGTAAAAAGTGGCCTCTATGTATATTAAAGTGATCTTTTCATTAATCAATTTCAAATCATGTCGTTTCAGCGGGTTCTTGCCTGTTGTTATCAATTTTCTGCGTCGAGTACCAATTGTGGGTACATTTCTTAATTTACCTGGGATAAGTGGAGTGAGTACTTATTTTCCTAATTAACACTATAAATGCTATGCAGGTGTATGGATAATCCTTTTTCACTTTCTTTATCCATGATGTAGGTTATTGACCGAATCATTGGACCTCATTCAGTGATCTAACCTAAATTAATTTGATGAAAATTATAAGTCTTATAATTGTAAATGGCATTAGCTGTTAATGACAAATATCTAAGAGCAATAAAAACAACTGAATTACCTTGAGCTATTTCAAATCTGGAGTAAAATAAGGATACGAAATTTTAAAAGCTACATTTGCGATAGATATATGATTACGCTTAAATTTTACTCTATCATCTAACGGTAGCAATTGACAAAATTAGAAATTAATTCTTTTCCGCGTACTGATAAATATGTAGTTTATAGCATGCCATCATGATAACAATAAGATGTGTAGAATGTTTCTGTTACACTTGATGTAAAAAGGTAAGTTATTGAAAATGAAGTAATCTAGTCCAATATTATCAACGTCTACTGGTATTTTAGTAAAACTCTAGCAACAGTAAACAAAAACATTAACCCTGTAAATAACATTCCTAATCTATACATCACCGTTCCGTAATTCTTATGGGATATGAAAGTGATTTCAATGATCAAGTTTCCATCTTTTCACTGAAATTATCTTCTACTGAATATTAATGATGATCGCACTTAAAGACCTTATTTCTTTCAGCTCTAAATATTATCCTCCAATTTCATTGAATCGTATAGTATCAATTTATTCGTAAATGTGATACTAATTATTAGCATTGAATGCAACGGTGATAGCAATATAAATTTTAAATTACAACATGTGAATAATATAAGATTTGTTACAATTGGCGTGCTGTACATTAAATCATCATGGGCATATATAATTTAACCGGCTTATATTAATTGGAGCTGAAGGCTTTGGCTAACAATTTGCCATTTGAATCATAGTATCATTATAGGAATATATATTAAATTAGTAAGCTTATATAATAAATAATAATATTATTACAATGGCACTTAACACATATTATCTAACAATACAAGAAAATGCTGCTAACTTAATCCAACCGGATCTAATAATTACATTCTTCAAATTGTAAGGGTAACTTTCAAATTATGCTAAAACTATCACAAGCTTTTGTTACCCATGTACTTACATGTATACAAAAGTATATACGGCATACAATAATCCACAAGCAATTGCAGAACAGTGTCAAAATAACATCAACAATTCCGATCTACATTAGCAATAGATTAATAAATCTCGAAGAAAGACAATGCTATAGATCGTTAGTACATCTATCACTGCAACAAAACTGCTAGTGATAGTATATTGATGTTATGATACAATACATAAGTAAAGGATACAGCATTACTATACAGTGAAACGATAGAAAGGCTAAGTAAGAATCTAACAAAACACCGAAAGTATCTATTTCTGTAACAGCAACATCAGCGTAATTTTATACATTACTTAATAAAAAGTCTTTCCAGTAAGATATGCAATTTTATGTCAATAAATCAAATACACATATAAAAAAATTGGTCAATATGCTATATTTGATTGATATATAGATAGGATTATATACCATTGGTTCAGCATTGTAAATACATTGACGTCGTAATAATGAATAACGATGGTTATAATTAATAATTGTACTGCAGATGATGGGTTATAAATTCCTACGAAAAATTAATACGGTGTAGAGTACTGCTAATCTCTATACATTAATAATTCACGAACAACATTAGTTCAACAAAAATTGCTAATTTAAACAAGAATCCCTCCACATCGAATTAAGATAATACAACGTCAATCAATTAAAAAGTTAAATATCATCTAATTATCGATTCGTTACTAACTACATTCATAATGCGTGCTATATTGTGGTGTTCCTCTAATTATATCACTCCACTGACATTTATAAAACTTTCCCTTCGAATAACAAGATCAAATTACTAATAATACAACAGGCCTAATGAAATATTGACAAGAATTATTCTATCATAACACACTCTGCTCATTCTAAATCCTATCTACGAGTACATCTAACAATCTTAGAATAAAATTGATTTGGTTAAGTAAAAATTTCATATCAAATATAACACACAATACTTACTTGACTTCAGTTTTAAAAAAATCTAAGTTATAACAATTCTATTATATGCATCTATATAAATTAATTATATAATAACGTTTAACGATGCATGTGCAATAAGTTAACGAATTTTTGAACAAACACATATTAATTAGGGATGCCACTGGAATAATATTATAAAATTAAATAGTATTTTCGCTTAATGGTGATGTTAATTAGTAGTTATCCCTTCAAGATACGCACACTTTGAAGGAAAAATGAACTACACAATGTGAGGGTATTAATTGATACGCTACTATGTACACCTGGAGATAAATAAGCAGCATCGAGGTTAACGAATTTTTGCACAAAAACATATTAATTAGGGATGCCACTGGAACAATGTTATAAAATTAAATAGTATTTTCGCTTAATGGTGATGTTAGTAGTTATCCCTTCAAGATACGCACACTTTGAAGGAAAAATGAACTACACAATGTGAGGGTATTAATTGATACACTACTATGTACACAAGGAAATAAATAAGCAGCATCAAGTATTGGCACTAAGACCTATTTTGTAACTGAATCGTACGATATATATATATATATGGAATACCGTCATTCACAATCAGTTAATCGATAAAAAATGAATAAATTACAGTTTTAACGTTGAACTTGTAGAACTAAAAATATTTCCTCAAGGGATGCGTATATAATTACAAATGGAATTTAGCTCAATTAAAATATTTGGGTGACGATATCGTACCTATTAATCAATGATGATTTCCCACTCTTTATCGTAACTAGTGATGCCATATCTCATTAAATGATAGCTGTAAAAACAATCGTAAATGGATTGAAAAGCAGGCAAAATATCACCTCTTGCAATAAATAAAACTGTCATTTAGATTCAACATTGTCATATTTGTAAATATAATTTAATACACTAGACTAATACAATTTTATCTTGGCTCATGAATTGTGAGCGCTAATTTTTCGTGGCTTTCGAGTATAGCCAACGCTACTGCTATAGGTGTCTAGAGTACTAATGCTACCTGACGGTGAATTTGATATTCGCGGTGTATGAGCTAGTGAGTTTTGGTGTGCTTCGTCTGATCCTATAAGCTTACTCTTCTTTCGAGGTAATTTATGACTCTTGCTATTGGAATGAATACGAAGTTCATCTCCAGTACCTGATGAACTTGGAGTTGATAAGCTACCACCACGTCCATCGAAAGATCTGCTATCGCCATTTTTACGTAGACCAGGTAGACGATGACGATAATCGCTACCGCTTGATCCTTCACCTTCAGTTGAAACTCGACATGATCGATCGTTAACCTTGCCATTACCGTGATGGTGATCATTACTTTTGATAGAATCTTGGCCAGCATCAGCTAATGGACGAGAACTACTGCTACCGCGATTATTAGCTGACGACGAATTTTCGTGTGTAGAAGCAGAACTACCTAGAGTGCCCAATGTATACCGTCTTGCAGGTTGTTGAGAAGTTAATTCTTGGCTAGATGACTGTTGTCGTGATAATTTGCCTTCACTAAACACCCTACCTCTCTGTTCTTCTTTGGCTATTGACAGCTGCGGTTCCAAGTAACTTGGTCCATGGCGTACTGCTGAAGGTGTATCAACTACAATTCGTAACTGATGCTCTGGTGACGCTTCTACAGGCGATGTTGATGATCTTTCAATTGCAGCATAATCTGAGCCATTAGGAATATCAGGCTCATTTGTAATATGATATGAATTATCTACTTGTGGCATACCCGTGACAGCTATGCGGCGATTTTCTGTACTATACTTAGAATAAGAATCCAATTGAACCAATTGCGTTCTTTTCTTGAACCAATTTTTGGGTGTCCATTTAAATTGGCGCCTATCTTGATGCTCCGATTTTAATTTGGCCAATTTATAGTAATAGGTAAAATTGGAGACAATAATTGGAACCGGCAAAGCGATGCATAATACACCAGTGACTGCACATAATGAACCTATGATTTGGCCTAATCCTGTTCTGGGAGAAATGTCACCATAGCCTACTGTTGTCATCGTGATAACAGCCCACCAGAAAGCATGAGGTATGCTCTGGAATTCTTTACCGTTACGTTCATATTCAAAGAAGTAGACAAAACTGGAAAAGAGTATAACACAAATAACAAGAATACAACCAAGCATAAATAATTCATTCATGCTCGATTTAAATGTTTTGCCTAATGTTTGAAGGCCACTGGAATGACGTGATAATTTAAAAATTCTGAGTACACGAGCTAAGCGCAATACTCTGAGTGCTTCCACGGTCGTAACATTAGGATTACCATTAGTTCTCATAATTAAGGTAATATAGTAGGGCATAATTGCTAAAAAATCGATAATATTCATAGGAGAAATGACAAATTTCCATTTGCTAGGACAAGCTAGAAAGCGTATAATTAATTCAAAAGTAAACCAAACTACACACATTGTTTCGACATTGTACAATGCGTCAGCATTCCTAGTTGCTGTTCTATTTTGCTCAACCGTAACATTACTTTTATTTCTGAAATTCACATTAAATCCATCAACAGTTTCTAGACAAAATACTGCAACCGACAGCAGTATAATAGCCATTGAAAAGAAAGCAACACATTTTGCCATCATTGATGTATCAGGATATTCAAATAGCAGCCAAATGCGTCGTTTGATTTTATTTTGGGGTAGTAAGGGTGCAGGGTCTTCTTCCATTCCTTCGACTTTGCGTAAATGACTTAAAACTTCAGGCTCGATTTGAAAGAAGCATAATTCTTCATAAAAGATATCCCACGGAACAGTCGATGGTCGATTTAAACGTCCTTCACTTTGATAGTAATAGAGTATAGCTTCAAATGATTGACGATGACGATCAAAGAAATACTCCTTTCGTTCATAATCATAGTAACGATCACGACGTGCACGATTACCTAATAATGTATTAGGATGTTTTATTAATGTCGATTCATACGTTTCGAAGCGTAGACCGCTAACATTGATAGCAACTCTTTCGATATCTTCTAGCTTTTGAGGCTGCCTTGGTTGATGATTGATATTTAATGGTTGTAATCCAAGAGAAGGAGCCATGCTGTCTTCATCAGTTGATGACGATCCTCCGGTTGGTGGGAAGGCTGCCATGCTTCCATTATTGAAAGCCACTTCAGAATTGACCGCTAACATGTGAAGGCCAATCATTATACCAATTGTGGATATTAACAGCTTTCAATGATAAACCAGTATATTCTTTGTAGATTATCCACTAGAATATATCCACTATCACAACTGGATCCTTCACTGGATCAAATTGATGTCTGAGTCCTGCCGATGGATAAAGTTAATTGAGGAAAAGGATTTACAGTTAATAATATCATTTGGTCTAAAAATGTGATGTGTTTTACAAGTTGGTACGAAGTGTAAAAGGCAATGTTTCAACTTTTTGAATTGGATTTTAATCTAACGGAAATATTCACAAAGGCAACAGGAAGAAATCACTGCTCCATCAATAGATGCAAAAATATGCCTGCATTGTAACACTTTGAGGATTAAATCTATAAAGTTATATTATACGAAAGTGATGTAATTCAATTATGATAATTAAATATTCATGGGTATTCCTGAAGTACGATGAAAAAAGGGTTTTGGCCTTTTAGTGACGTAGAATACAATAGTGTTCAAGATCCAATATGTACTAGCTATTGCGGCATACTGTCTACGGCGTCATGAGATGAAGAAAGATTAATAATATAAATAATTATTTCAATTTAAGCAAACCAAGTCTTTTTATCGAAGTAGGTTACATTCCTATGCGTGCTTATGCTATAGCACCTTCAATGACTACTGTACTAACAGAATTGCAATCATTACGAGAGAAAATAGCAGTTACGCCAGTTTAGAAAGTGTACAATACGTTTTTCATAAGAAGAATTAGGATTATACTAAGGGTGTAATCCAACTACCGTTCTGTTTGTATCATGTTCCATTGGTTAGTTACATGACAAATAGCGATTCAGCAATGGCATAACAGTTCTTCATTCGCTAATACATTAAGAAGTATTTCTTATTTTGAGATCACTCCAACAATTCAGGCCAATAAGCAAGCGTTTCTTGTTCTCTAATATACGTATAGTACTACTGTACGTTATCATGTAACAGCCAATATTCAGGGAAAAATGAGAAATATCAATTGATTACGGAAATAACGAAGAAAATGATGAATTTATTTGATGTACTGTTAACGATCATCATAGCTTTTATGATCATCAAGCAAAGAGATGATAAGTGGAACAGTTTGAACTAACAGTAAGAAAAAAATATCAAGCAGCATTTGTAATTTAATGGCCGCATAGGAGACTACCGCAAGCTTATATATACATACGGTAGACGTAGGTTATCCTCCGATAGTCTAGAATAGTAATCGGTCGAATATTGTCAATTTAAAAGTCTTACCAATTATAATGCAATTTGCTGAGTTGTCGTTGTTGCCGCGATGAAAAAAATGATATCAAATCAGCGATCCGTTACCAAACTGGACTAGTTGGAAAATACTTTCATAAAATGCAGGAAAATTGAAGTGGAACTTTTCAATGGATAGTAATGTGCAAGTTGAGAGAAATCACTTGTTGGTCGTCGCCATGTTAACGGAATGATGAAAACTTGTTGACTTTTCTTTGTTATTTGTTCTCTTACTATAATCAATAATAACAATGACCGCATACAAATAATAACTCAAGTTAGTAGATGGCAGTAAAATAATTAAGTTAATGTTGTAAAAAATGTTCAACTGAATAAGTATCGGAGTACTAGTATCCATTTAAATCATCAACATGGATAGAAGGCTATCTTGGCTAAGTTGGATACAAGTGGAATTGAAATTTGAGGGCTAAATCAGGTGGTCAAGGAATGGTTTACTTGCCATCCTGACGGTGTATTTTTGTCGCCAAATTTCAAAAATGTCCATGAAAATAGTCGGTTACTGTAGGCAATAGCCACTTGGCAACAATACGACTGGCTGTTGTCTAACGGTTTAACATTTACATTACGTAGAAAATGACTCCATTATCTTAAATCAAATAAAGACCAGTCATACATGACTGAAGATTGATGTAGCAGGTCCATGAGAAATTAGTGTTACTATTCTCTTCAATGAAAACGTCTTATCAACAATCAAGTAGGGTAGAGCTCTTTCGTTGGCAATGCTGTGATTGTGGATGATGGAGAGGAACTCGATTGCATGAATTTTCAGTCACGTTATTACGGCAAATTAGCCTAATGTTAAAGCGTGGCCGTTATGAGTATCTCTCTACAGGTGTGACGGGTAGGACGTGAAAGTAGAATCGTTTCTATTGAAATTGTATCGAGCAGGATCCAAGTCAATGGTTATTCAATTTCAAGCCATGATGGCAAGCGAGCGAGTTGGCCATCTTATGCATAGGGAAAAGGTATCCAAGGGTAATTGTATTTTCAATCGGTTGTGTACAACCAATGTGGATATTATATTGTCCGTTATCAAGTGAAATGAAGGCGATCAATGAATCAACGTCGAGACTCAACTTTTACTTTTGCTGATCGAAGACAACGTTATACACGTATAGTATAGAGCGAATTATTAGGTCCTATCAGGGGACAGATAGGACTACCGCAGTTCAAAACAGTGAGAAAAGATTGAAAAAAAAAAAAAAAAAAAAAATGAGTAAAGACAAAGAATATGGTCAAGCTTGAAGCCATTGTAGAACAGGTTTCTCTAGACTTGCAACACCAACGACTGTATCAACAAGGCAAGGCAAAAATCAGAACGAAAATCCATTTGATCACAAATGAGGGGATAAAAGGCAAAGAAAATAGACTATGATATCGATGGAAGGTTAATCCTTCCATTGGCGCATCATCATAAAATTGAAAATATACCACATGCTGAAAGCCAGCTCTGATAGATATTCCAATTTCATGACACTTTGTATGTAATTGAAATACGACTTGACCTATGGCCATGGGCAACATTGAAAGCAGTCAAAGAAATGGGTAGCCATTGAAGATCGACTACTGCTTGTACGAATGGAATAGGTGCAAAAGAAATGGATAGATGTCGTAGTTTGTAAGCAATGATGAATTCTACTGTACAAATAGCCAAATACGATGGGAACGGATCAGGCGAAAGGATATGCGGCTGTCGCTGTATGGCCCCATTACAGTATCCCACCGCCAACCCTTGTGCAATGTTGATGGTATAAAACGCCATGAGAAGGAAAGAGATGATGAAGAGGAAGAAGAAGCGAAACGTCGAGTCTACCCTGCTATGACGTTGGACATGACAGCAAATGTACAATATGTCGATAGACTTTGAAAAGACAGTGTCCGACTGAATAGCAAGAGGAAAAAAAAAAAGTGACGCGTTGCACTCACCGGGTAGGAAAAATACTGTGAAAGAATGAAGAAACGACGTTAAAGAGAGAGTGAGATGTGGAATCCTTTCTCTTTGGTTTAGACTATGGATTTGAAATGGATAATTATTTAGAGGCGATCCATGGTTGAAACGGATTGCTCAACAAGTGGAAAAAAAGATTACACCATCATGCTTGGTATGATGATGTTTATGTGGCGATTTTAGCTTTCAAGTTGCGACCCATAAAAGCGCGAGCGCATTGACAAATAGAGCAAAAAGAGAAATAGTCAAGTGGCAATGGGGGGAGGATGATGGAATTCAAATTGGCATTGGGTGCAACAAGTGGGTTTTACCTGTGGATGAGCGGACATGAAAGTTGGAGGATATCGGAAAAATTGAAAAGATGAAAACTTTCTTTTGTATACCGTTGTTGTTGAATTGCGTTCTTATTTGATCAGGTTGAATTAACCTTTGTCAAGCTTGTCCTTCTTGCTGTCTATTAAACTAATTAATACAGTCTTGTCAATGCAGTCACCGACTCTTACTATTGGATAGTGTACGCTATGACTGACATATTGCATACTGTTCAACCAAGGTAGAAAAGAGAACAAGTTGAGAAAATGCCCGACAAGAGACAAAAGCGATCGCCAAGCTGTAGGGGAAAAAAAAAAAAGAGGAGAAGAAAAAAAAAAAAAGAAGAAATCCTACAGTGCAGTAGTGTCCAGTCCTACTGTACTAGACACTGTACAGGACAGTGGACTACTGTAGTCAGCTGAAGAAAAGACGCTGCAGTACACAGCAGATACAATGCAAACTACTGTGGAATACAGTACTGCACACTGTACAGTAGGGGACACGATGACGTCAGAAAAAGGTGGCGACGCTGCTTGAATTCCTTTTGCAGATGAAGGTGAGCTTGCGCAATACAACTCGATGGGCCATTGGCTAGATCTGCATCTCTTATTCGCTATACTGTACACTGTCGATGGCCTTGATACGCGTGATTGATCCAAGGTAGGCGTGGATCATAGAATTAATGAACTGTATGGGCGTGATCGGTCCTTCCGTGCAAGATACCTCTAGCCAATGACTCATTCCTGTAGTGGACAGTGTATTCAAGAAATTGTCTGCAGAAATGCCTGGTTGCGATGTACGTTTGCGCTGTCGGCTGAGTCGATCAGCACAGTATACTGTGCAATAGTGATCAGCATTTGTATGGTACTACTACTTTGCAAGTCACTGACATAGCAAACATATCCGAGCTAATCTAGCCAACATTGGACACTTGTTGTCCATAGCCATCAACGAACGCCTGGAAGAACGGCGCTGCAATCCTTCTACAGTACAGTAGTATTGTAGAGTACAGTCCAATCAGGGACTACAGTACTGTACACTGTACAGTACTGTAGTGTGCTGTCGACAATTTTGCGACGGTCTCTTCTCAGTCAAGTTTGATCTGCAATTGGCTGAGTTTGCGCAAATCTCTGTGTGAAATTCTATTTTGACGGCATAGTACAGCACTTCACTTAACAGTGATGGAATTTTGACATACTGTACTGTACAGTAAGAGAATTTTTCGACGCTCTCTTNTCAGCCAAGCTTGATCTTCCAATTGGCAGAGTTTGGGCAAATCTTCGTGTGCAATTCTGCTTTTACGACATAGTAGAGAACAGACTTTAGACCTGACTGAACTGTACTCTACTGTACTTCACAGTGATGGAATCCCTCTGCTGAACAGTACAGTGCTGTACACTGTACACTGTGCACTGTACTGTATAATACTGTACTGTAAGAGAATTGGGGAACGCTCTCTTTTCAAGCAAGCTTGATCTGCAATTGGCTGAGTTTGCGCACATCTCCGTCTGAAATTCTGTTTTGACGGCATAGTACAGCACTTAACTACGGTGGCCCAGAAGGCTCAGACGGTGACGGTAAAAATAGCATGTACCAAAAGCTGGATCTGCAATTGGCTGAGTTTGCGCAAATCTCCGTCTGAAATCCTGGTTGTAAAGGTACAGTACACTACTGTGTACTGTACATACCTCATAGAGGGTCTCTACAGTACAGTACAGTACAGTACTGCACACTAATGTTAGGGTTAGGGTTAGCGTTAGCGTTACGGTGAAAAGCAGACTACCGTCATACTGTACTGTAGAAGATCTTCTTGTAGTCTACTGTACAGTCTACAGTGCACAGTATGACTATCATGAGACAAAAGTACTGTACTGTACACCACTTCCAGTATCAACTTTGATCGGCCACGGCAGGTACTGTAGCTGTAGGAGTGTCGATCACGCTTGAGGAGAAATGGCGGGAAAGCGTCAATGACTCTACCCTACACGACTACGGCCAGTGTGACTGGACGTATGTGCTTCACACCACACACCAGTGACACACCACCACCACGCCACAATGCGCTGGCCATCGAGAATACTGCACCAAACGAGTGACGCCAAAGACGATTGAGACTGACCCAAGTGACGCTATCGCCTTGACGCTACAAGGTGACAGGTCTTGTCAGTGACAACATCCAGTAGGCCGTTGGCCAAGGTCAACATCGGCATGCGCATACCAAGTTGTTGAGTCCAAGTTGGCGTTGACTACCATACTGGCAAGTTAGGCAGTCCTATCGCAATCCTTTGCCATCGTAGCTCCAAGCAATCCTCACCAACTTGCAGCCATTGCCATCGCCAAAAGTAAGTTTGCTGTTCATTTAGGCTATTGATAATGATAGAAAGGTAAGAAAATGAAGAAGGGGGAAAACTTGACGATAGAGATTGATTGTAGGGCTCAATCTATGCTGTCGTTGAATATTATAAAGCGTTGCAATCGGTCGTCTTCATCTCTTGTAAAAAGCAAAATGTTGTATGCAAAGTGGGGGATCCATGGCATACAGTCTCCACTTCATTAAAAAGGATCCATTGATTTGTTTAGGAGGCAGAAAATAGCCTTCAGACCCCACAGAAACAACTTAAATACTTGCTTCCATGACTGAAGATTAGGGCAGATAGGCTATGGCTCAGTAGATTCAAACGCACGCCTTTGGGATACATTCACATTCGAGTAGCGCGATCATCATTGAATGGGAAAAGTCTTTTTCATCATGGTCCATTCTCCTTGCTTACTGGATTCATCATACTATCTCAACCATCAAGCATTGAATAGGATCTAAAGGACATGGAGTCTATTGATTTGAATTGAACTCTTTGCCGCAATTGCTCTCCTACCTACTGGATCATCAGCGTACTTTGAATGGGTACGGCAGCACAAGAAATTGAGTGTGCACATCATACGCGTAATATTGCAAAATGGTTGTAGCGGCGATCATACAATCATCAATTTTGCAGGACATTCTACAAAATAACTTGAAAGACTATGCAGCCATTTTTCCATTGCATGTTTACCAAGACAAGCAAAGAAATGGTGTAGTCTCCTTTGATCGCTTGACGAGAAAATAATTTTCAACTGGCTATATGACATCTGCATCCATCCTGTTGGGAGGGTATCCACCATCGAGTGCCCACAGTACTGCGGTCAAGACTCTCTATCAGAGAAGAGAGTACGTCATTCAATTTGCTCATTGCCCAATTTGCTTGATTGTAGACAACCAAAATGGGATCAAACTTGCCTCCTACATCAACAGATAGCTTATTGCTTTGATGGATTGGACAATTTTACACATTCTTCGCCATAGCGTACACCTACAATACTGTAGAGGGGAAATCATGATCTGCCAGAGTTCAATCTGAAATCCCTTTGCCAAAGTCAATCACAAGCTTAGCCGATTCAACCAATTCCCCTTGATGCCTGCAACCGCCTAGTTCTCAATCATAAGCAGGTGTACGTCCAGTATATGAATTTTACTGCCTGCAACCGCCTAGTTCTCAATCATAACCAGCTCTATGTCCAGTATATAAATTTGACTGCCTGCAACCGCCTAGTTCTCAATCATAACCAGCTCTATGTCCAGTATATGAATTTGACTGCCTGCAACCGCCTAGTTCTCAATCATAACCAGCTCTATGTCCAGTATATAAATTTGACTGCCTGCAACCGCCTAGTTCTCAATCATAACCAGCTCTATGTCCAGTATATGAATTTGACTGCCTGCAACCGCCTAGTTCTCAATCATAACCAGCTCTATGTCCAGTATATGATTTTGACTGCCAAGCTTGTACAGACAGTGCAGTAGCATCCATCTGCCCTACATTAGAACATACTGTACCGCGATGGTTCTTGACTATAGCTTTGACTTCTCATACATTCCGTCAACAGTATTCAAACTACACTATATATGGTGCATCTGCTGCAATCCCATCGCAATCATGAGGCACCGAACTAACTGGTCCAAGAAAGCTCTAGCCATATTCAGGCAGCGCCAGAGCGCTTATCATGACGTCAACTCCAGAACAATTTTACGCCATCACACACCTCTGATAAATTGGTAATTAATTCATCACCTATTGCACCTTTTAAAGGGTGCTTTCAAGGCGTATAGCCGGAGGCTTTACCGTTGAGAAAATTCACCCAGTAAGTGTTTTACTCAGAGCAAAGGATATCGCAACCGAATCAAGTCCAAGTCATGAATTTTGCTAATTTTCAACCCCAATTCCGGAACTGATTGAGCGTATCAGAATAGTCTGCATGAATAGCGTGAAACTATTCTTCGCTGTTGTTGAATCAATAGACTTGTGAAGAAGAAAATAAATGAATTTACAACGTTTTACAAATTCATAATCATGCAGTGTTGTATTGTTGAATCAACAATATCAGTCATAATTAACTCGTGATGCACATGCTGACGTAGAAAATATTCAACGCCTATTTATTGATCTTATCATAGGTTACTTTTAGGAAAACGAAAGCATAATGGCAGATCGTGACGACTCGTAAGTACTAGACAATTTGGCGTTTTATAGATTATATTGAAGATGAGGTCAATTATTATTACGACAACTACCGGTCATTGCAGTACTCATTGGCGTTATATTGATTAAAATATCGAGTCAATGATTACTACATAACCACGACAATTTTTATTCGACTGTATAGCCTGTAGTAATACTTATTCCAAGACTATCCTCACAATTTACATAGAATAGTCTCAACTCTACCTCTTGTTGATGTTACATCTAACTTCATCAGTTACATTTCCTTCTAAATCCACCGTGAATGAAGCTGCTTACATATTAACAGTATTCTACTATTACGTTTAGAAATGATGACGGAAAAGGAAAGCCTACCTTTACCTTTGGTAAGTTGAGCAGCAAGGATACTAGAGTGTTATATCAATTTACTTTTAATTACGATCGATGATTCAACTACGCCCATTGGGCGTACTTTACTCGATCCAATCAATAGATTTGCTCTCAAGGTTCCCACGATGTGGTGGGATTTATTTGTAGTGCTCGCGTAAATTAAATATAGAGATTAATAGCAATAGCCTTAAGATATACACATCTGAAATCGTGGATTCTGTACATAGATCCAAAATTGTTCAACGATCCTAGAGTTCTAGAGGCGTTCCAAGTAAGTCATATCGATCATTCGAAATAAAAAATTCAACCCACTTATTGACAAAGCCGTTGGGTAGTGTAGTTTACACTAAAACGTGTTAATATCACGAAGATATCAGATCGCATTTTGTTTTTAGTAATAATAAAAAGATTATTTATTTTGCGGCAATAGGGAAATTTCAACGATGACGCAATTGTACTCGAAGCCGATGATCAATTTGACTATAATAGGTACTTTGCCTGTATTTATTGTTTGTATGTCCATATCATCATCCTACCTTGATACCACAAATACCAATAATAATACATGTCAATGTTAAATTACTTCAGTTTGCCAGCACCTGTTAAGAGACGTATCAAAGCCTTGAAGAAATTGCAGGTAGCCTATGCACAATAAATGAATGACGTCTTAAAATGCTCAATGTACAATACTCAATTTTCTTACTATTGCAATTTCTTAAAATATAACTGTTAACCCTGTAAATCAAATTCCTAATCTAGTTACAATACTTGGAACTGGAAGGAAATTTTTATGAACGTGTACATCGTTTAGAATGTGAATTTATGGCAGAATTTAACAAGATTACTGCTAAGGTTAGAAAGAGATCCATTATCATTTCTATTAAAATCATTCTATCTAATCTACGGTTTATTATAATGTCAGCGAAAAGATATTGTGAATGGATCTGTTGAACCCACCGATGAGGAATGTGAATGGGAGGAAGATGAAGATGATATTTCCGTATGCAATTGCGAATATATTGTTTTTTTTATCTGTAGTCAAGTCGACGAATGTTGGATTTCTTAAAGGTAACATTTGCAATTCATTTCGCTTTAGGAGAATTTAAAGTCGAAAGCTAAATTAGCAGATGATGACGAAAAAGATGCCGAGCAAGATAGTAAGGAGGATTAGCGATTAAAATCGAGAAGATGTTATTCTGTGCAAAATAATTTTGCTTTCTAATGCGGTTTCTATTAGGCCGAGGCATTTCCAACTTTTGGTTAAATGCTATGAAAAATACCGACTTGCTTAGCTCAATGATTCAGGTGTATATGAAGTTTGAATTATTTTTATTCATTGGCTTACGTTGTTTTCACCTTTGTATGAGTGCATACTTCCATTCATTCATGTGTAATATATTTCTTGTTTTATAACGTTAAGTATAAAACGCAAATTTAGTTATTTCAATCTGCTTACTGATGGTAATTCTTTGTTAGGCTGATGACGAACCTATTCTAAAACAACTGACAGATGTACACGTATCATATACTTCTGGTGAACAACCGGTATGCTATAATTCTTTTGTCTATCTAGACTATTTCTGTCATACTACATAGAGCATAGAGTGTGAGATACAATATCGATGTTATGATTATAAATAGGGTTTCAATTTGGAATTTGTCTTCAAGCCAAATGAATTCTTCAGTAATACGGTAATTTGAAATTTTAATTTACTTTGACGATAGTTTTAATAAATCTACTCATTCAACTTTATCATTTATTTGTAACTGAATTGTTATTACTACGGTGAATTCCCCCGTAGACTCTTACGAAACAGTACTTGTTGCGATTTGATCCTAAGAAAGATGATCCATTTTCTTATGATGGCCCGGAAATCGTCTATTCGAAAGGGTAAAATTTAATTTTCTATTAACCATGGCCTATTGCTGTAAATGGATCTATTGTTGACTTCATGATCGACCTTTTTCCTTTTTATACTTATTTTAAATGACAAATTTTAGATCAAAAATCGATTGGAAAAGAGGTAAAAATGTTACGCAGAAGACTATTAAGAAGAAACAAAGACATAAAGGTTAAAATAGATTGCCAACTACGTACAATGACGGACAGTTATCTTGGTTATGTAATAATAACATATGAATTCGAAAATACATTACTATTACTATATGCATATTAGGCAAAGGATCAACACGTACGGTTACACAAACTGTGAAGAGCGATTCTTTCTTTAATTTTTTCAACCAACAACCATGTATGTCTGTTACTATGAAAACTTTGGATGTTTTATTACCTTATATTCTCCTGTTTATTTTTAACATCTTATTGGCATTTTTCTTCTAAACAGATTCCGCAGATGATGAAGATTTGGTGAGTTGTACTTTACGGTTAGAAACCTAATTTATGTTTGGCTCGTTATCTGATCGTAGCATGATCAATCACTTTTAGGAAGAGGATGCTGAAGAACAGATGGAAATCGATTTCGAATTAGGGCATTTCTTCAGAAATAGGCTAATCCCAAGGGTAAGGGAGTTTAAAGTTTTCTTTTCAACTTGTCGTTAAGCATTAAAATTTATATTTTAAAATCTCTTCTTAGGCCGTGTTATTTTTTACTGGTGAAGCCGTTGAAGATGAGGTATTCTTACATAATAGATTTTGAAGGTTTATCTGGATAATAAGTCGCTTTTCCTTTTTCAGTATGATGACGAAAGCGAAGAAGAGGAAGAGGTTTATATTTGTTTCAATCATCGTTAACTTGTTTATATTTTATCGTTGACATAAAATTCATAACTTATAGTAGGGATACGTTAACCTCTAAAGCTTGTTATCTTGAATTACTATATGTACGGTTGTAGTACATTCAGTCTAACATAATTGATTACTTCTTTATTGGTATATATTCAGGATGCTGAAGATGAAGATTCTGACGCAGATCCATCGGTAATTCCTATTATATCATTGCAAGTTGAAGAAACAACGTTATTTTTTGTTTAATGTTCTTGACTAACCTTACTCGTACATTGCAGGCGCCCCCGAAAAATCCTCAAGAATGTCAGAACCAACAACAATAACTCGGGCGCATTGATTGATGGATTGTAACACTGAAGGTCACTTGCATCATTCTGGATTCTTTTTGTACTAAGATTATCAAATGTCTGTATCACCACATCATTATCAATAATGGTAATAATTTACAGTACTGTACTTCTCTAAACTATTAAAATGATGTATTCATTTTACAATTTGTAATGTGAACTTGGCTTTAATCGAAGGGTCATTCATTCTTCAGTGCGATCTAGATACTGTAGGTACATTGACTTGAATTTTGCGCGTTTTGCTTTTACCGTAAAATGAAAATTGAGTAGATTGTTCAATCCTAATTTTTTAGGCAAGCTTCAAGTTGCATATGTGTGTTAGCGTTAAGAATAAAAATGTGCAATCTACAGTATAATACCCCGATTAACGCTATTTTCTGGTTTGATGTGTACGGCTTTGACTACGTGTATTTCCACAAGTTGCATCATCAAAGTTACTTGTAATAGCAATTGAAATCGCAAATCGGAAAGGTTTTATGTGGTATAAATGTATCTATACGGTTACAGTTTAGTTATTAACTTTAAGCAATAACCAGTACTTGCTACGTATCGGACGCCTTTATCACTGATGGATTACTGATGTGCAATTGTTAAGCTCTATTATGAAGAATTGAAGATAGCCTGTACAAAGTGTCTTTTCTCTGTTTTTGTTCATGAATTTACTGGTACTAAGAACCTGCGATAAAAAAAATGAGTTCTAATAGAGATCGGAATGTCCTTTCTTTCAGTATTCTATTTGCACAAAATGAACATCAATCGATGCTAATTTGCGATAAGTACAGTAGTGTCCCAAGGGCTCGTGGTGATTGTTTGATGCGTCCACAAATTACTTCAACACGATTGAGCTCAGCTGGACTCGAGCGTAAAGTTTCAAAAGCATGAAATGGATATAGTCCGATTACACCACCGATCTGACGCCATCCAGTCTATATACTGCACTGTACTATATTAAACCACAGCATTAGGTACTTTACTATTTCTTTATGTACATCTACGGTAGCTGTTGAGTTCAGGAAAAGCTACTATTGTCGTCTATCGTATACTAAGTGTGCAGTATACCGTAAATTACCGGCATATTTTCATGAGTAAATTGGAGTTTTTCATTGCTTTATCAAGACCTAAATGATGGTTGATTCCCCATAAGGTACAATGTTTTCTGCAGTAGTTAGGTTTGATACCTTATATTAACCTCTACAGTATCCGATAATTAGATCAGTAATTGATGTTCACGCCAATTTTTTCATTTTAATAAGCTATCGGTAACTTTTCAAGAATAAATTATCTAAATTTTGTCAATAGAGATCAAAAATTATAATGATTTATTAGACGTGATCAATAGCAGCCAAATACAGTGATTGAAAAATCGATCTACGCTGAGAATGAGTACAGCCATATTTTCCATTGATTGATACCCATACTGTTTTAGTCAAGAAATGTCATCGGTTTACTTGTCCAATGGCCATCCTACCATTAATCCACAACTAATTGTGATGTTTGCCCTTTTTCTCCATTGTCGTCCAATAATGACTGTACAAAGTGGACTGGACTATGGACTGTAATAACATTTCGGAAAGCCTTTCTAGTTTCTACGGTACATCTGCCTTCTTTGTTTGGTTTTGGGTTGGTCTCGTGCTTAGGCTTGTTGGAGATTGCTACGGTACTATTGATCGAATTGCACTGCACGCTACACTCTACTGACTGGATGATGCCATCCTCTCTTTCATTGTCTTCATTTTCGACTTGAACATAATTGGTATTCATGTCAACAATATGCAGATATACTGAAGAAGAAAATAGGAATATCAATTCATTAGTGCAACCATCGATCCATTTTGTCCCATTTTTAGCCAACTTCCATTTCACTGCCATGATCTTTACTTGACAATATTGCTTTCCTAGATAGGCTAGATTGTCAAGTGGACAAGATGAAATAATGCCTGCTAGTGATCGTTGATGAAGAAGAATCTTGACCAATTGTAATTTCAGCTTTTCACCGATTGTTGTTTGCTTTTAAGATTGAAGCTGAAAGATCGGAAAGTCTCTCCTTCATTTGGCCAAGGATGAATTTATTTCGTTTCCATAAATCTCGCACTATTTTTCTCGTTTTTGCCTTCACTCTTGTGGTCAATTTTTATATCTATTTCAGCCATCGAACTGACGACAACCACAGCAGCACTCATCTAGGTAAGTTATCGGACAAAATGAACAATCTCCATCGCGTAAAGTTAGACTGAATATAGACTCGATTCATTCTTGCGTATGAACAGGAAATAGAATCAGTATGATAAACAGCCATAGACAGTATTCAATGATGCTGGAATCATGTCGTTGTAGCGTGCTCATAGATGACAGTAATGTGTTGAACTAGCCGTTCCAACGAGACTTGATAAGCGACAAATCAATGTTACGATAAACGACACTTGATGTTAAAAATGATGAGAACAGTAATCTCCGATAACTGCCTTCAATGAGTATCTGGGGAGTCAGAGTACCTTTTTTAATTGGTGTGCCAACGACAGCAAGAAAACTTAACCGATCGGCATATTTCTTAATTTTTCACCACGTCAATATAAACGCATTGCATTTGACCAATTCTAATTCAATCAAACAGTTCATCATATTATTAAGAAACCTTTTCATCTACTTGCTTACTCGATATCAGCCTTCATCATCATCGTGGCTCACTTAAAAGAATAACTTTACGTGATGAGAACAAGGACAAGAATCAATATCAACGTTCGTATTTATTCGTTTAGACTATACACACAAAAAAGTAGATTATTTCCTCTATTGGGAATAGCAAGTGAACGAGAGATAGCCAAGATTATATTCTCGTGAACGTTTCAATACTGTAGATAAAATCAAAGTGCTTGTCGTGTTGAGCTAAAATTGCTCTACTGGTATAGATTTACTAGTATGATTAGCGTACACGTATGTCTTACTAAAAGCGTTATATAAAGTCACTTATAGGTAGGATAACTTCGCTAACAGGAATGCACATTCAAGCTTATAATAGGAAATTGAACCAGAACCGACCTATTTTAATATTACAATGTTTGACTACGGTTACTCAAAACCAAAAGGAATCTACAGAGGGTCAACATCATATTCATTTGAATAATAGTATACAACATTGATAGTTTAGCATGAAAGTTTCTTCCATTTTCTGTCGTTATTCTTGTACTTGTAATAGATTGCAGGCATAATTAGCGTATTCCTTTCTAATGGGTGTTAAATGACAATATCAAGGTTAAACCTGGCAATAGGAAAGCAAATTCAAATGGTCAACATAATATTACTTTAAACAATGCTGTACAGTAGAACACAAATAATGAACATGGTGGAACACTTCTTTCTCTTCTAAGCATGACATTACATGATAATATCAAGGTTAAGAGTGATAGAATAGTCATTGAGAGATGGGTAACATAATATTCGTTTGAACAATAGTATGCAAAACTGATAGAGAAAATGGAGGTTTCTTTCACCTTTTACTGATGTTACTCTACTGTACTTGTATTTGTTTAAAAGAATGATAAAATGGATGACTTTATAGTAACATGACAGGATCGTATCGAGATTCAACTAGCACTAATAGAATAAGCATTGAGAGATGGCTAATATATTATTCCCTTGATCAATAGTGTATAATACTCGTGGAGAAAATAGAAATTTCTTTCATCTTTTGCTGATGTTACTCTGCTGTACTTTGTATTCGTCGAAAGAATGATAAAATGTATTACTTATGATAATATGACATCATCATATCAAGATTAAATCATTTGCACTACAAAGTAATTGACACTTGGTAAACGTAATATTATACAGTAGTTAAAATGGAGATTTCTTTCATTTTCTGCTGTTATTACTATGCCGTTCTTGGATTAGTTTAAAAAAAGAATTGATGATAAAACGTATTACTATACACTACTTTGTAATATCATAACAGTATCATATCAAGGTTAAACTATTTGTATTAGAAAGTGATTGAGACTTGATTAACTGAAAAAATAGTCCACATGACTATCGTTGAAATACAAATTTCTTTCATCTTCTGCTCTTGTTATACCATATACTTGTCGGTATTAGCGAACAGGCATCATTATAATCAGCATCTTTCCTTCAATCCAATCAATAGAACATAGTAGAATGTAATTGACAGTAGTTACTTCACCGATAATAACCACCATGTTGATGCCATCTTTATGTTGCGATATTTTAAATTTACAATGGTTTAGCCACTGTTTTTATTACCAAATTCAATAAGATAATATTGCAAATTAAAATCAATCAACGCGATTGTTAATTAATTTCTAAAGCAAATAGATAGCATAAATATTGCATTAAACTAACAGTATCGACTGTAACCTAAAATCTTAAATTTCTGAAAAGTAATTATAGTAATCTAGAAAGTGGCAATAAATTTATAATTCTATTCATTTCCATTAGTGAATGCTTTTAAGAATTCAACAACAGTTAATAACTGTGCCTGCTACGGCCATCTTAAGAATAAAAGTATTGCTATTTTGGAAGGAAAATGGCCCGATCAACCGCGTAAGTTAGTCTTAGAAAGCAATGCGAGTATTTCTTTTACTTATGCTTAAGTCAACTCAACAATCTTTATTTAATTCATTTTTTTTCTTTCAACCCTGCGTAGGCTATTTAACAATTGGAATACCTACTGTCAAGAGAGCCAGTGCTGATTACTTATTCAAGACGTTAACATCTTTAATTAATAACTTGAATGGCAAAGATCAGAAAATGGTTAATATTATTGTATTTCTTGCCGATTTTGATCCACTATATAAGTTAAAACGAGTACAAGAGTTAAAGAAAACTTATCAACCTTGGTTAGAATCAGGCTTAGTGCAAATTATTCAAGCTCCACGCTGGTATTATCCAAAGTTGCGTAATTTAAAGCGTAACTATAACGATTCGCCTGATCGTGTATTTTGGAGATCCAAACAGTGTATCGACTATGCCTTCCTATTTGAATATTCAGCTACTCTTTCACAGTATTACATGCAATTAGAGGACGATGTTGTTACCTTTCACGGCTACTTCGATATAATTCGTGACTATATTCATCGACAGCGACATAAAAATTGGAGCAGCATTCATTTTTCTACATTAGGTTATATCGGTAAATTATACCGAAGTAGTGATATTGTTGAATTAGGACGTTTTTTCTACATGTTTTATGACGAGCATCCAGTAGATTATCTCATCAATTTTTACAGTAACTTGAAAATGTTACCAAGTAATTTAGTTTATTTACCATCATTATTTCAACATATTGGTATTAAATCTTCGCTGAAAGGAAAATCCCAGCCATTAAAGGACATACAATTTGCCCTTGCTCGTGTCTATAATAGTAATAATCCACCAGCAAAAGTTACTACAACATTGCAAAGTTATGGTGGAACTGAACCAGAATTTGCTTACGGTAAAACTGTAACGTATTATTGGTGTAAACAGCCTCGAGCGAAAGATACAATTACCATCATATTTCATAGTCCTATCAAATTAAAACGGGTAGCTGTATTAACTGGTGACAAGGCCAGGCGACGAGATTGCTTACACACTGCCGAATTGCAAGTTTCTTCTACTTATTACCTTCAACAATGTATTAGCTGGAATAAAATTGGCGATTTCAAAAGAAATGGTAACGTAGACATTGATGTGACTAACCTTAATCAATCGCCGTTTAAAAATCCAATCCGTTGTGTTAGAATTTATATACCTAATAAATATCGCAATTGGGTGATATTACGCGAAATTGCAATTTGGTCTGAAGCAATTGAGTAAAATCCGAGCTTTAATTTTTCATCAAAAAGGATGAATGTTTCGACGCAGTCTAAATTAATCATAGTTTCGAATAAAATTGTAAAAACAGACGGGAACACGGTTTCTACCGACCGAGATTAATAAATAATTTTGCAAGAAGTTATCCAGTTTTGATGACCTATCATTTAATTGTTGTTTTCTTTGCAATAGTCAATCATTTATTTAATTGAATATTTCAGTCATCCGATGTCTAGAAGACCGGAGCTTCACTTTGTACTTTGTCTTTCTACAGTAATACTGCGTGATGTACAGTTTCCATGCAAGTAATTATCGTCTGTATTTAAAGATTTTATACTCTCATTAAAGTATTGGTTACTCATTTACATTTTGTGAAGTGCGTTTTGATTACTTTATGCAAAAATACCACTATTACTTGGCTAAGCATCAAGTTTACCAATATTGGTAGTTCTAGCTTATGTACATATTAAACAAGCTATTAATGAGTCCATCAGCTCATGATTAACTTTACAAGACTTCTTGCATTGCAAAGCATTAGAACTAATTGCAACAGTGCACGATTACCTAACTATGTATATTAAAAACTTGACCTTCACTAAACCCTTACAAATTATTAAGGCTGCAAGTAATTACAGTACTTATAGTTTGAAACAGTCAATATTTTTATTGCTTTACTGGGAAGTCGTTTGAAGCAGTTTATGATTAGAACAGATTGAGACAACGCTATTCAATTGTAATTGCACTATTAATCAAAGCTGTATATTAAACTAGAAGAAACGAAAATCTTGTAACCTATGATAATATAAACTAGTCTAATCATTTAATCTAGAGTTTCATCCGACATTAATTCTACAGAAGACAGATCGCAATCCTCTTTTGTTAATAGAATCCATTCGCATGTAGAAGAGTTTCTGTATTTCATTGTATCCAATTCGAATCGTCTGTTACTTTCTGTAATTTATTGGTAATAATACAGTTAGAATCGTAAAGTACTGCTGCAATCTACATAACGTACAAAATAAAGCAATAGTAATATGTTTAAAGCAGACTGGGTGTGCGGATTCGGCTAGACTTTCATAATGAGAATATAACAGCCTCTTCTGAATATTAGATGTAAAGATATAATTTGCTGCTATGTATCACAACAATACATATTTGTCGATGCAGCTTAGCTTACCTTTTTCGAGCTCTATTAGAACATAATCCGCTAGTTCAGCCAAGACGTTGACCTGTAAGCATTGGATATATGCACCAATATTGGAACATTAAGTAACTAAAGAGGCCTTACACCACGCGTAAACAACAATTAGCACACAGTACAGTAAATACTTATTTGTTAAATTGTTTACGTAGTTTAATAAAAACGCAAAATCTAATAAACCTCAGAATTAATTTGTAATTCTGATAGTATCGTTACACATTCAGTTTCACAAAGGCAGTTGGCAACTTCTAAATAGGTTAAGAATTCAAATTGAAGAAAATTATTGAAAATAATTTTATAGGTTGTTTTCATAGTTATTGCATTAAAGAGAGTACACAAGTATATGTTAGTATGTAAATATATATACTGTATATATATACATATGACGTGAAGCGGTCAAGCTTAATGTTAATTGTGGCATTTGCAAATATCATAAGAGTTTATACAGTATTTACCCGGGTGTGATGCTGCGGCATATCCTATCGCAATCAGTATTTCAACACATAGGTTCTTATTATTCTTACTGTTAATGATTGTCCTTAGTATTGTTACCAAGTTGCAGATATAATCCTTATATGTAGGCTTGCATTCATTATTTTTGACTGTAAATATATACAGCATATATGGACAATTCAGTGACTAGGATGATTAAAGATCACAACGTGATAACTCGTATTGGTATATTCTACTATGTCGAGCTCGTACGAATAATTTGCTTTCGTTACAATCAAACCTTCATCAACAAAGCTATTGGAAATCATAATCAGGTGGTATAAGGCCTTTAATGTGATTGTTGATTTCATATCCTTATGCCATTGTTTAAGAATGTTGTCTATAGCCCGGTAAAGGCATCTTAAGCCATCATTGTAACGAAATATTCGTATATTCCTCGCTATCAATACAGTACATCGAAATGCTCATTTAGTTAACTAAATGTGTTGCTAAGCCAGTTGCCATTGTGAATTCACACCTAGCAGAATTATAGCACTATTACCATGATTATCAAGTAAGACGTTTAAAATACTGGTTACGGTACAAAGCAAGACCAAATCTTGGCTGTTTTTCAAAGCAGAAATTAATTCAGGTAGCATAAAAGCGCATTTGTTCTGATTGGTAACTAAAAAATTGTATGAATCAAGATGGTAGAAGACAGATAATAAGCAGTCAATTTTTAAAACTAGGAATAGCTTCGGTACAACCCAGGCAATACTTTCACTACCATTAGTAGGATTAGCAATACAGCATGTTATGGCACATGTTACACTCGCCATCAAATCCTGACATATACTGTTTTGATACACCATAGTCTCCGATACTTCTCTTCGTTCTATTGCATAACTGAAAGAAAGTATTTTAGCTAGATTGTAGTACTTTAAGGATTGCACATTGTGCAGCATCATACCGTTCTTAAGAAAGGCAGCACTACTATACATTCGCATCTTATAATGGCTAGATGACACAAATGCCAAACGAAAACATTACATCTTACCTTAATAGATCACAGAGTCCGTGCAAGCATCTGGAATTCCCAGCTAATACTTGTCCTCGACCTGCAGATTGCATTCGTTATTTTAGGCGTGATTCGCTATCTGCTGTTTTCTATCAAATTTCTAATAACACTTTTAATATTCGCAAGAATCGTTGTGAATTATGTAATCTAGTAAACACATACACTATAATTTGAAGACCAAAAATGATATAGCGTACTTTGCAAGGACTTTTAAATTATTCATAAAATATAGAACTAATCTTTAAATGGCTTCGATCTATACTGATAGTTCTTAGCAAAGCAACATTATTGTAAGCACTGTTAGCACTTTACTGTCAGTAGAAGAACTACAAGTTATTTTGTCATAACTAGTTTCAACAGTTTTGCATCACAAATTACACAGAGTTCAATTTGCAGTCCATCATGACGTGTATTCCAGAAACAGTAGAAATGTATGGGACTAATTGATTTAAGGTACGTAAAAAAAGTACTTACCATTTTTAAATGCAAGACAACTAATTAAATACGCAGCTGATGCCCAAGCATCCTTGGTAACAACTGAAGAGAGGATAGCATATAAACTATTGTATAAGGATTGAGTGTAAACATGAAATTTACAGTTTCCTAGATAACACCGGCGTAAAAGAGAAAGTGGAAAATTGCTTTAGGCATTTACACCTATATAATTCTGTCATGTAGGAGATTAGCACATAGAAGCTACGTTCATCTCAAATGTGCGTTTACAAAGCCATAAGCAGTAAACCTTTAAGATATTCGGTTGGCCGGTAAAGTGTACGAAAAGTAAATAAATTAGAGCCACTCTTTACAGCGGGATCAATTTCACATATTAATATAAAGCAAGTGCAGGTATGTTTATAATCTACATCTTAGATGTCGCTTTCGTTTTTATCATTTACTGTTAAGATACTATAATGACCATGTGGGATTGTAGAGGCTTGATCTATATCGAAGGAAATCAAATTGTAGGATGCAAGTATTGATACAGCTTATACTGTAATTACGCACATCAATCACTGTCACTTTTGTAAGCATTTTAATGTGCTCGTATTGAAGAAAAGCAGCTCCAAAAAAAACGTGTTAAGTGCTACCATCTGATAGTAATAAGATACTTTACCGTCTTGTTCAATACAACTAGCCAGTGCCATTAAAGCCACTTTTAATGTCTGGCAATCTCTAGAAGTTAAGATCACTTGCTGTAAAATGTCAAGCCCTCCGCGATGATAAATACCGCTGATAAACGGATTGATTACCGCATGATTCCCTGTACAAAAAATTGCAATATCATTCATTCTTTTGGTAGGTTACAATTTAAAAATGATAAGACGCAAGCTAAAAGAATTGGTTATTTCTTCCATTTGTAAGTTTAAGATCAAAGTTCTTTAGCATATAGAATTGGGAAATCAATCCGATTCATTGAATTGGGTTAACAAGAGGATTAATACAGTGATAGTGACGAAATGGCGATGCGTTCAGCGAGTAGATGAAAGCCGTCCAGCAATGACGACGTTTCAAATAGCCTCCATCATCCATTACCAGCCCATATCAATACATTACTAAATCTCATTCCTACGTACCTTTGCTAGAGCATAACATTGCTACACAAGCCATTGCTTGATGTTGAGTACTTGGAATTTTTAAAGCTTGCATTAAAAATTTTAAATCTTTTTCCGAAAGTACTTGACTGTTTATCAATGAATCGTCATGGAAACTGCTGCCTTGTTGATCCATTCGTCTTTCGATGGATCAATTGCTCTTTGAAATTTTTTTCCTAACCTGGTCAATCGTATTCAGACTGTAAGGAGAGTAAAAGAGAAGTATTGCCAATCAATTTTTTAAAGCAAGAAGACTTTTTTTCAAACTCATGATAGTAAATTATTGAATTAGTTTGATCTTGCTAATGGAGAAAGAAATAACTGGCAGCAAATTCATTATATCAACTGCACGACCCGCTGGCGTTACACTAGTACTTTGACGGTACTGATTTCACTGGTACCGATAGCACTATTGCTCGCTCATACTAATTATCTTGCAACGTTGAAAATTGTCAATGTAAATGTTGTCTTAATTGGTCCATCCGTCTTTCGATTATTGAATTACTCTTTGAAATTTTTTTTCTAACCTGGTTAATCGTATCCAGACTGTAAGAAGGGTGAAAGAGAAGTATTGCCAATCAATTCATTTCAAACTTATTTATTGTAAATTATAGAATTAGTGTGATATTGCTAGAGGAAAAAGAAATAACTGGTAGCAAATTCATTGAATCAATGGCACTATCCGCGCAGGCGGTAACACTCGTACTTTGATACGGTCATCCGGTACTAATTTCACTCGTACTGATAGCACAAATACCAGAGATTTCTAAGACTAATGGAGTATTGATCACTAAGACTAATGAAGTATTAATCACTAAGACTAATAGAGTATTAATCTCTAAGACTAATGGAGTATTAATCTCTAAGACTAATGGAGTATTAACCACTAAGACTAATGGAGTATTAATCTCTAAGACTAATGGAGTATTAATTTCTAAGACTAATGGAGTATTAATCACTAAGACTAACAGAGTATTAATCACTAAGACTAATAAAGTATTAATCTCTAAGACTAATAGAGTATTAGTCTTAGAAGTCCGTGACTATGCTCGCTCATGTCGAATAAGTATCCTGCAATGTTGGAAACAGCAAATGCAAATGTTGTCTTATTGGTCCATCCGTCTTTCGATTCTTCAATTACTCTTTCAATTTTTTCTAACCTGGTTAATCGTATCCAAACTGTAAGAACTTTGACACGGTCATCCGGTACTGATTTCACTCGTACTGATAGCATAAATACCAGAGATTTCTAAGACTGATAGAGTATTAGTCTTAGAAGTCCGTGACGATGCTCGCTCATGTCGAATAATTATCCTGCAATGTTGGAAATAGCAAATGCAAATGTTGTCTTATTGGTCCATCCATTTTTCGATTATTCAATTACTCTTTGAAATTTTTTTTCTTACCTGGTTAATCGTATCCAAACTGTAAGAACTTTGACACGGTCATCCGGTACTGATTTCACTCGTACTGATAGCATAAATACCTGAGATTTCTAAGACTAATAGAGTATTAATCTCTAAGACTAATACAGTATTAGTCTTAGAATTCCGTGACGATGCTCGCTCATATCGAATAATTATCCTGCAATGTTGGAAACAGCAAATGAAAATGTTGTCTTATTGGTCCATCCGTCTTTCGATTATTGGATTACTCTTTGAATCTTTTTTTCTAACCTGTTTAATCGTATCCAAACTGTAAGAACTTTGACACTATCGTCCGGTACTGATTTCACTCGTACTAATAGCACAAAATACCACGGACTATGCTCGCTCATATCGATTATCCTGCAATGCTGGAAACAGCAAATGCAAATGTTACCTTATTAGTCTATCCGTCTTTCGATTGTTCAATTTACTCATTGAAAAATTTTTCTAACCTGGTCAATCGTATCCAGACTGTATTCTGATACGGTCAGCCGGTAATTATTTGACTCGTACTATAACATTATGCTCGCTCACATTAGTACCATGCAATGTTAAAAACTGCAAATGTTGCCTTGTTGCTCTATTCGTCTTTCGATGGATCAATTGCTCCTTGGATTTTTTCTTTCCAACCTGGTCGATTGTCTCCAGATTTGCGTAGCCTGGAACTTCTCAACAATTTTCCCCTTGATGTTAAAATAGGAAACACTCTTTAATGAGGAAAGAAAAATTATTATCGAGTAATTCCTGCCGGAATTATGCGTATTCTGTTATGACAATGTTACTGACTCGCTAAATTGATAGAATCTTTGACACACTCCAGGCCGGCAAGTAGAATACCCGCTCACGATACCAGGAATTACTCCTTGGTTATCACTTGTGTGTCCATGGCTTCATAAACACTACATTAGTTAATTTCATTTTCCAGTAAGTCAGTAATACTATCATAAAATGACATCCTGGCTTTTGCACACTGCCGTATACTGTACTGTACAGTACTATATAGTGGAACTATTGATTCATCATAGTCATACTATTGAAAATCTCGCAGCAAAGAGACTACTCTTTCCTTAGTCGAAGCTTTTATTTCAGTGCTTCTACTCTTTATTCTATATTACTGTAACCTCCAGTCTATATCTTTTCCAAGTATAGTAGAGGACCCGTGAATGAATTATTCCTGACTCAGTGTGTGATATGCGTCAGTTTCATATACCCACAGACGTACAAAATTCGGACAGTCAAATTTTAATATATAGTATAGATGATATATTACTATTTATATCTACTGAACATGCACACCAACTAAATCATATTTAGGTAGCGTTAGCCAATAAAAGAACGACAACTCAGGTAAAATGTCGCAAATAGGACTCTACCATTACTTGGTCTAACTTCATTAATAGCATATAAAATACATATGAAAAATTAGTAAGAAACATAGTTCCAAGGTTTAATGAAGCGTGTTATGTACGTAACATATGCATATGCATATGCGGATACGACGCTGATATGGAAATCTTTACAGAGAAAGAATTTAAGGCCATAGGTGAACTAGCTAAACAGTGAACATCCGCTTGTGATATTCCTTGCAGCCATGCGCGGTACAGTTTATAAAGTAGATTAGGTTTGCTCGCCATTTAATTATACTTTTTTTGTCTACTACTGTAATTATACACAATATACGCTTTTATATAAATTACTTTACTCTGTAGATGCGCCGATACTGCCCTCTTGAAGAAATGAAATGGCATCGATATTCTATGGAAGAATTCAAACTATTGCCATGGACACTATCAAAAATTTCTATGGTGAGACAACTTCTGGTATAAATATATAGATGACCCAAAATTGATCGAGAGGAAGTTTCTGTAGCTACTGGCGTGTAGTATAACCTTGAACATACGTAACGGTATTTAGAAGAGTAAAAATCGCAAATTAGCTCTAGCTACACCACTGAGTTATCAGCACAATACAATCGATTATACAGTATATTACAGTGGTGTAGGTATAATCCTAGACTAGTCCATGGAGCGCTGGATTCTTCGTCGAAAAAGTATCTAGTAGTCCATGACTAATTGTAGCTCCAATTGCAAAATGTTGAGTTACTCAATTTTCGTTAACTCATCATATACAGTAGAACAAGGTGGACGGCCCCCGTCCAGGCCCTGGAAGGTAAAAAGGAGGACGGCAGTAACGCGGGCGTATCGTATACTGTACAGTACTTATGATTCTTGCTACCAAGCTCAATCCAAGATTAGTACTGTACAGTATCGCTTAGTTTTACTGTATTGTACTGTACAGTACAGTACATTACACTACAATTGTACTGTATACGGTACAGTATACTGTACTGTATGTACTGTACAGTATTGCTGTATTGTACTGCACGGACTGGTCAAGGACTTCTCTTATTACAAGAAGTCGTTGGATTGGTACGATCGATGACTGCTAGCGCTTTGGCTCCAACGAAACATTACACCCCAAACGCCAGTTATGGCCCCACCAACAGCATACTGATGCCGATGTCATTCATCACTCAATTCTATTTCACATCGAAAGTTAAATAGACAAGCTATCGAGTATCATCGGCAATAAGAAATTCTTTTAATTCAATCTTATGTCACTCATTCTACTTTAATCACCTCCATGATCAGCCAATTCAGGTTATCAATCTAGAGCAATACAACGAAACGATCATTTGAGGTTGGGCTACAATTCAATCCCATCACCGATCACGCGTACCAGCAAACCAACTTGGTATTGCCATTGCGATCTGAAATCCTTGCATGAAGGTCTACAAGTATCAATTTCAATAGCATCAATCATTTCTTCATTAATGCGAAAACATAGATAAGAATATTGATCGGTCATCACCGTATGCTGATATCATTTCAATCGTTACCATGACTTGGAGACGTTCTGCAATTCCTAATACAGACGAATAATGATAGAATTCAACGGCTGTTGAGTAAATTAAATACTGTATTGCAATCCTTTTGATACTAGATTCCATATCATCTTGCTTTTTTTATCCTGTGTTGGTAAATTAAGATAGCAAAGTCTTTAATTAATACTAATACAACAGAAAACGAATGAAAATTAAAGTAACATTATTATATACTGGGGCATGTATCATTGCCATCATTATCAACGTTGCTGTTTTAATCGTCAATCTCCAAGACAACCATTCCAGAGAATTGACAGGTATTATAACACTATTTAGAAATTGTGCTTGAATATTTAAATGCTAGGTAGTAGTAATAAGTCTCCGGGTTTAAATCCATGACTTTATAAAAACATTGGGCATAAACAGTAATTTAGCAACAAAATCCCCTGTATTGCATTGCAACTTTGAATGATAATAATTCGAGATTGCTATACTTGTAATGCTATATGAAAATGGGATGATTCAGTTACTATCACTTGCAGTTGACATTCTAAGTTGCAAAATAGAAATGCAGGGAACCGGTTTTACTTAGCATTCTCGTATATTTGTGCATGGATGCTGCTATATTTATTACATGTAATAAACGTGCTGGGCGAACTTTGAAAGATGCTGAAATGATTTTTAGCTAATTATAGTAGTAATGTGTAGAATTGGAGACTTGCTCAGTTTTAGTAACTCAAATTTCGAGTAAGTAGATTGCAAATCTAAGGGGATACAAAACCCCATTCAATACACATGCACATCAGTGCTACCCTTAAGATATTGTAGAATATACTCATAGCAAGCTCTTCGTGTTACAAATACGCTAGAAATTTATGAAACCGAAGCATGAGTATACCAAAGTTGTGATACCGCTACTGTCTCAACTATCATGAAAATCGACTTCGAGATCCAGCAAAATCAATAATTCTAAATTTCAGTAAATACAACTAGTCCATTTTTGTATTCTATTGTCGCAGTTGGCCTCCAAAATAGAAGCAATGTTATCAAAATTAAGCTTATGCTCAATTAGATCTACAGATATAGTAGTGTTCAGCTCAGGCTTTCCAAAGGATATGAAACAGTTAATCCTTTTTTCTATAAATAGCTGGCGCAGCATTGTAATTAGCAGTTCTTCATTACTTTCCAGCGACAATTGTAGTATGATATTTTTTACTCCAATATACAGAGTTTTCGTAGTGCAATGATTACAACACCAAAATATAAACAACTTGGCTTGAAACGCGTTTAATGTAAAATAAAAATACCATTTGTGAGACTGTTTCCTATTATTTGAATAATTATAATTAATTTTCTTTACGCTCTCTTATCTAGAAGGCATCAACGCTGCCAGTGATTCAAAAATTCATTCCTGTGCATCTGATATGGACAAAGAGAGATCACTAGCTGCAGGTCATTTTCGAACCGAAAAAGGTTAGTGCAGAAATTAGAGTGTAGTGGTATGCGATGATGATAGTTTATTTTATTTTGGGTTCATATCGCGTCGGAGCAGTGTCAACGTATACAGCCATCGATATAACAGTATGTAAACTTGTTACAAGATAATTATCAATTCATGTACTGACAGATCCCAAGATTTCCAAATTTTTTACGTCTTATTCAATGATGAATGAAGAACTATTTACTCAACAAAGTATCTTATAAACGCTATGCTTTGTAAAATACGACACACCAACCACCACGTAACATTGCGAGCGCATGAATGCAGTAGATACAGCAGTTGTCAGTAACATCTTGGTCATAATAGCATTATCCTTTAGAGTTGATATCGACTACATTGAGCTGATTATATTTTGAACTATATTAATAGGGTTTTTAACCATTGGAATTCCTACTGTCACCAGACCGAAGGCGAACTATTTAGATAAGACTATACTGTCCATCATCAATAATACTAATGCTGATGAAAAGAAATCAATTGTAATTGTAATCTTTCTAGCGGACTTAGATCATAAAATTAAAGATATTACAAGAAAGCGTTTAACAACTCGATATAAATCATTTATGAAGAATGGGCTGATACAAATTATTCAAGCCCCTGCATCATATTATCCTCCTCTCGATAACTTGAAACGAAACTACGGCGATTCAGCTGAACGAGTGCGATGGCGCTCTAAGCAATGCATTGACTATGCCTTCTTATTTGAGTATTGCTCCGGTTTATCGAAATACTATTTACAACTTGAGGATGATGTCTTATCCTCAGAAGGTTTCGTTACAACCATTCGTGGTTACATCAATAATCAAGTAAAACCATGGAGCTCTATCCATTTCGCTAAATTAGGCTTTATCGGCAAGCTCTATAGGGATGATCATTTACTTAAATTAGCTGCATTCTTTAAAATGTTTTACGACGAGCAACCTATTGATTATTTAATAGGTTATTACAGTATTTTACGAATGTTGCCTAAGCCACTACTTCGTTTGCCTGCTTTATTCCAGCATATTGGAATGGAATCATCATTAAAAGGGAAGTTGCAACCATTACGTGAGATATCCTTCACTAGCAAGCGGATTTACCATGGTGATAATCCACCTGCAAAGATAACATCCACTTTTTTCTCATACGGAGGAGGAGAACCAAAACAGCCATATGATGCTAAGCCTGCATTTTTCTGGTGTAAGAAACCCCAGGCCGGTCACAATATGGTGATCTATTTCGATGCTGCAATTAATTTAACACGGGTTGTCATTGCAACTGGTGATCCATCTCGCCCAAATGATATCTTTGGTGATGCTTCAGTTCAAGTTAGCCATTCGCGTAATGATAAACTAAAAACATGCACGAACTGGATTACTATTGGAAAATTTGATAAGCATGGCTTGATGGATGTAAAGTACAATTTATTACGGGAGCATGTTAAAGTCAAGATTAAATGCTTACGAATTTACGTCAATAAAAGTCAACGAAACTGGGTTATTATTCGTGAAATTGCAGTCTGGAAGCATTTTCCACGTACTAACAACCATTAGTGCGTCAAAGATGGCGTATTAACGTAATGTTTACCTGCATAAACGATGATTGCGCTCAGGATCTTTTATGAAATCATACAATTAGTGAAGAAAGAACTATTTATCAACCTTACCGAAGATTATAATATAGATATTTTTTCTACAATATCTGAGTTTTGTTTGTGAAGCAAGTAGTAAATTGAGTTCACAAGAACGCTTTAAAATTATACCGTATTCATCGTATGCGTTCATTGTGGTGTAATTGTATGTGGTATATATATGTTATATATACAATATCGATAGGTGTCTGTTCTGTATCATATTATGTTATAAAATTTTTAAAATACATATCTTTAACAAGTGAGTTTCTGTCTTTAACGTGTTTTAACAGGATAACAATATTATACTGTGCTTAACTGAGGTATCAGTCAATAGAAACGGGTCCTTTGGATTTGTGGAAGAATTTTGAAGTTGTACATTGCTTTCTTACATCACTACCAAAGTACATAGGTAAATTTAAATTTGTAAATACTCCTCGTTGTATATTAGTGACATGACGTTCTTTCAATCTAAATTGATTAAAGACAAACAAATGTTAGACGAATTAGAGATTGATTTGTTCAATTTGAAGGCGATTGTATTTCTCTAGAACAGCAGCTTGCAATGCAATACTTCCATCCATGTCACTGTCTGTCTCTGTATGTCAACGTCCTTTTAGAAGACAGAACCTGACTGTACAATGTACATTGTACTACTGTATACTTGGTTATTTGTAGCTCAATTTATTCGAAAATTTTCCAAATTATTCCGTAACATTAATACACCAAAAATATTTGGCAATTTACCAACGTATTTCCTCTAAATAGCACTTTAAATATCAAACGACTTTCCATACACCCTGTACTATATATAGTGGCATAGTGACTCTATACAGTACATATAGTTCTTTAGTGTAGCGATCAATACGAGGTTAAGAAAGCCTCTGCCTACAGTATATAGTACCAATATTCCAATATTCATTCATTCATTACTAGTCGATCCTTGCTTGTTATACAGTACTTCGCGTGCTCTACTGTACCAGCTGTACTTATACCTTTTAAGTTATATTATGACTTATCAACGTTGAACGAAACCATGGACTACACCTTTACCAGATAGGACTTGTCAACTGATTGCTATGATTAAACGCGTCCCAACAGCATTTGTAATTGTATTGCAAAATTGTTATGTGCAGAACAGCGTAATATTGTAAAAGTTTCGAAATAGAAACTGATCCATGATGCACATTGGTATAGGATTGTCAGAGCGTTTGTACGTGAAAATATCACCGTGTATTCAGCCAGATGCCTTAAAATGACGAAACAAGTGTACAGACATAAAGTCATATAACAGCGTGTAAGGAATCACGATCACTTGGCAGCTTATATCCAAGTCAGCTGATACTATTGAGTGTACATAAAGGTGGCAAACAGATGTACATTGCACAATATCTTTTAGCTAGGGACTTTTCGATTCTTTTTTACTCAATTTTGACCTAAAATCGAAAATTCCCTGTTTTAACGGCAACGAAAAGTCTCTGAGTATTCAATTTGCTATAAGCAAGGACTGCTGGAAGAAATCTCGGTAGGTTTCCTTCTAGTATTCCATGGTTATCACTGTTGCTGGTTTATAACAGTTTTATTACTCGGTGCTGTACAGTGTACAGTGTACAGTGTAATAGCAGTTAATTACGGTTATTACGGTAATGAACGAACCAATCATAGAATCGCGTGATTTCCATTGGATGACGTACATGACACTCGACACGACTGGCGTACGGTTGACTGACTGCGAGTACAGTCACCGGTCGCTTCGGTGCACTTCTATAGTAGTGAACGAAAGGTAACGGATGTGATACTGTCGAAATGCTTGTTTTGACTGCAATTGTGACAGCCCTTACCCAAACATCTTGCCTAGCAGTTTTGACGCTTGACCCTAGTGTTGTCAACGGCTGCATAAAGTATACGACTCACTATGATAGGATTGGCCGTCTGACGTCAGCCACTGGTTGACGTCCAGCAGCGCTTCAACGCCTCCAACGAGTGACACTTGTCAGTAGATCGGCAAACTACTGTCTTCCGGCTCTCAACAAACAACGGTAGTCAGTGTGGAAATCCGGACCGGCAACAATTTCTTGGTGCAAAAGTGGTAAGAATAGCAATAAAGTAATGATTTTGCATGATTTTTACCCCTTCCATCGGAAGAATCATGTATAAAATGGTCTATTCCATGAGATTAGATCATTTATTGAATGGCGATGGAGGAAATACAACAGTGACCACTTTGTTTCGCAAAAGCGCTCGCTCAGTTAATTAAGCTAAACAACCGATTCACATGCTTTCTCTACTGATGTCATGGATGGCAATTTTCTAGTCCTTATTTTCCATGCCAGAATTGAAATAGCCGCTAATCAATAAAGTAGTAGCAAAGCTTTTGCAGCATCGTCATTTCATGATGAAATTTTCCCCAGCTTTACTGTCGTAGTATGATCTGGTGTTGCAACGTTCATGTTAACCCTTGTTAGTGCTAAAAATAACGGCATGGGTAGACGAGTACTTGTGTCATTCTCCAACAATTTCTTCTCTTCGTGATTGTAATATCGCACTAGACAGGTAGACAAAGTTCTTCCTATCTGTCTTCAACAATGTCATGGATAGTATTCATAGTCATATTTAGGCATAACTTTGAATGTTCAATCTCCACAGTTCATGTTAGCCCTTCTTAGTGCTGACCTCAAAACGACTTGAGAACACAGGTATGATTTTGGTGTTCCATCTCTAAAGTTCTTGTTAGCCCTTCTTAGTGTTGACTTTTAGACTAGTGCACAGTAGGCAACCCCAGCTAGCAAAAACCTGCTACTATACTGTACATCGTTAAAACTGCTCTACAGTAGCAGGTTTTTGCTAGCTGGGATGGTCTAGTGTACACTTTATCAGCAACTATTAAAAAAGAGAGTTACTCTTCCAAATTCCTGACCTTATTGTGTAAAGTTGATTTATTCCTTGCTCTTATGATATGATTGCTGTAGTACAGGTAAGAACAGTTTCGTATCTTTGTTGAACAAAGTCATACATAGTAAAGTATTCAAAGTATGCAGTACTGATTGCTATCTGATGAAGTAATTATTTTACGCCTTGTGAATGAGCTGCAACGACGACATGAATAAAAAGCCAATAAACTCTTTAATCGTCCGAAATTGAAGAAATCAACGCTCGCTGTGTGAACATACAATCATTGATACTGTGTGACTGTAGTATTCAACGGCGCTATTTATTAAATTATCCTAAAAATCTACAATAACTGTATTTTCGTATCCTCAATATCGATTACCTATTTCTATGCATCGATAGAATCTCTGCTGACGTAGACAACTGCTCGAAAATCAAAGAAAATGGTGTGCCAAACTGATGGCAAAGGCTGTGCTAATGATTTTGCCAAGGTATCGAACGGACGTAAGGCCAATAAATTTACCTGGCAAGAATTGGCAAAGTTAAACACTCATCAAAATGCTCATATAGCCATCCGAGGCAAGGTAAGAACTAAACATCATCAATCGTCCATGTATGTATTACGAGTCAATCTAGCTACTCTGTCAATTTGTTCTAAGCGTCTATTAATAATATTAATCAACATACGAACGTATAAGCTGTGAAAATCAACGCTAATTTTTCAACGACATAAACGCATGACGTACCCGTACAATCTAGTGTAACATCCTCTGCAGATGGCCTACAGTATAACGAACCGATCTCCTTCTGTTTTTCACTATATTTATATTTATTGAACGGTATGGAAAGTTTTCCAAAGTTATTTCAAACCCTTACAGAATAAAAGTCATGGCCCTCATTGTCTGAGTAAAATTTTTTTGAATATATATTAAATTATATGCAGAATTGAATAACTTAACAGCAAAAGGTACCCTTTCAGCCTTTCCTCTCGTTTTTCAGTTATACTTATTACGTAAGCTCTATTTGCACATTGTAGTGCATCAATAAATGATTGGCCAAATTGTAAAGAGTAGCCTATTAATCGGGCGTAAGAGTACAGTATTTAAGCACAACTTGACGAAAGGAAAATTGACCTTAGTTTGATCTCCAATAGACAAATAGATTTCCTTGATGTAGAACAAGTAGAAATCTTATTAGTAATGTATACATACTGTAAAAGATACTTTAACTACTTGATTCTAAGTATCATTTGGTACTACTTGCAATTATATTTTATATTATGGCTCTAGATTTCTTCTGATAATTGCGAAAAGTTACCGCTGTATCACCATAGTATTGAATACGTAGAATCATGCTTTTAGCCAAGACAAGTCATGTTATAAGGCGATAACTTTTCTCCTAATTGGTATGTTAGGTTTATGACGTTCATGAATTTGCTAATCGTCATCCTGGTGGTATGGAGCAAATTCTCTTTGGCGCTGGGCGTGATTGTACTCAGCTATTTGAAAGTTATCATTCATCAAGCACATACAAGTAAGATTATGAACTAACGAGTTCCATCTTTTTTAACATCTCAACTACGCGTATAATTCAATACCAGATCGTCGTCACACGTATGTGCTGTACTAGTGGACAGTCTGTCAGACTCCTCACCGTTATAGTTCATTGCAGTAATCGTTTTAATAGGATGATATTGAAACTAAGTTTTAAAGTTAGCATAGGATGACATACGCGTAAATGCTTTTTAAATTGATGATAGTAGAAAGATGTTATGATTTAATTATAAAAATTGCCACCCTAAACTTTTATGAGTATTGCTTAAATATAATGTATTAGCCAGTTTTGTGGGGTGTTAATTGCATATCCTGCTCGCATTTATTGTACTATTAGTTGAGTAGTTTTCATAGTGTTCACAATGAATATCCTATCGGAAGACCCTTTAACAAGTTTCTTAACTGTAAAAGACGTACGCATTATGTCGTTTGCTATTCCTTTCTATGTATACTATTAAAATAAATATTCATTTCTTAATGTAGGCTGTTGGAGAAATTTTATGTAGGAGATCTCATCAGCAATGAATTGCCTGTATTCCCAGAGCCGAGGTACAGCGTTTACTTTAGCCGATTATGCCGTGATTGCATTTGTCTACCATTTGTTAACCCCTGTATAATAGCCAGTTTGTATATTCTCTCTGGTTATTAACTTACTTTGCTTTTTTTCTACTTGACGCTGCATTCTTATGTCTATAGCTTAACTTGATAGTTTTACCGTAAACAGGGCCTTGAAAATGGCAAGAAATTCTCTACTATTAACAATCTCTTGTTCATTGTCTTTCTTATAGCAAATTTAATAGAACTGTCAAAGAGAGGGTCAACAAATATTTTAAGGACAACAATATTGTAGGTTTTGAAGACAGATAGTGTTTTCCTTACACAAATACAATATTTTACAATATTTTACTTACTAGTCCATTCATGGATAGTTGATGCAAGATATTTTTATTTTGTAAAAACGATCTCAATTTTATATTATCTTTAATTTTAGAATCCAAAATATTCCCTCGCTATGTTTATGGTTTACTTTCTAGTTTTGACCATGATCTTTTCCTCTTATTTAGCGATGGTACGGACCTGTAATATGTATAGATACAGTATTGACATTTTGTTAAAGTTTAAAGTCTTGATACTTAGCCAGTCGTATCCTTGTAAATTCTTTCATTGAATGTATGCTTATAACTCTATTGTTCTAACGGTAGGCTTATGTTGATATTTTATCCTACAGTTACTACTTTTCCCTAATAATTTATGGGTTATGATTCCGTTAGCTGCATTTCATGGATTTTGGGGTGCATTAAGTGAATTAACGATTTTGCATGATTCAAGGTAGGAATGAGTTGAAATTACGCAAGAAACGTATACATTATGTACAGTATGTATAGTATATATTACTGTCATTACGACTGCAAGCAGTAATTGACCGATTTATAAATCTTGTAACGGTTAATGCTGTATTTATGACTATTGAAAGGAGGTATTTGCTGCTAAATTAACGATAGAATTTCCTAACCTTAAAGCATTTGCACCTCATTCGGTTAGTAGTCAATTGTTACTACTTTGTATTTCCTTACTAGCCACTTTGCAGTTACTAACAACCCCCGTGTGTGGATTCTGAACCAGCTATTGAATAGCTGTTACAATGGAAATTCTGGATTTGTTTGGACGTATCAGGTGAGCTAGTTGGAAAGAATGACAAAAGTTGACATACTCTACTTGTAACTGCGATCAAAGATATAGCTATTAATAAATGATATGACATTTTTATTAGCTAACATAAATCACTTTATTCCAAATGTTTGTTTAATATTGCAGCACGTGATGGGACATCATCCCTACACTAACATCGATGGTGCTGATCCTGATATAGTCACTTCTGATAAGGTTAATCTTAATATATCAAAATATGATGCAATACTAGGCGCCAATTGCTACTTCGTAACTGTAATAACTTAGATACTTTATTAGACATATGGTTAATAGTTACGAATGAGTAACGATTGCGTTTGAATACTTGTAGCCCGCTGATATTAGACGGATAAAAACATCCCAAAGTTGGGTCTCTCGCTATTTCTATCAGCATATCTACGTTCCAGTACTTTATGCATTTGTAAGTATGTCCAAGAACAAAGACCATAGCAATGTTGTTGCTACTCGGTGTACAATATTGATTACTTAAGAGAATTAATTAGCCGCATCTTTATTTTCTAGCTTGCGGTGAAGACTAGGTTACAAGATATCTCGATTGTCTTTGTCGACAAAATGAATGGTTAGTTCTAATGGAGAAACTTGATTTGTTGAAAGTAGTGATTAAAATTGACTATACTCTTATCTTAAAAATAAATTACTACCATAGGTCATATTAGGCTAAATCCAATGTCTACGTCTCAGTTTATTATCTTTTGGACTGGCAAAATTGCGTTTTGCGCTATGCGCTTTGTAATTCCTTTATACTTCATGTCATTAACCAACACTGTAAGATATTCAATCATGCCAAATCTGATATCAATGTCATCACAGTAGTTTGATTTAATGGTACTAATTTCATTGCTTAGATCATAATGAATGTAGTTTGCGACAGTGCTCTAAGCTACTGGTTGGCGTTAACATTCCAGGCTTCCCATGTTGTTAGTGAGGTTAGCATAACTACTACTACAAAATTATCGTTACTTTATTAAAAATTCTGCCTAGAGCATATGAGCCAACAACTTTAGTCTGTACCTCAAGAAGCATCGTACTGTGTAAAGTTCAATTTAGAAACGTTGTTAACCATAATTACCGATTGTCTTAAATACTTGAAAAATCCCTTATTTGATTAGGTTGAATGGCCAACTCCCGATAAGAATAACAAAATCGATGGAGATTGGTAAGGATTACTAAATTTAAAGATTACAAAGTAACCCTTATTATGATTATTACCATGAAAGTATTATTTATGATAGCCATGATAGTAATAGTCTATTTTGATGCATTCTACTTGTCAAATGGCTTAAATAAGCACCAGTTATCTTAGTGCACCATATCACTGTTGTATTTCTTAGGGCGGAATTACAATGTCGTACTACTCAAGACTATGCAACAACTAATTTTATCTGGAATATTGCTACAGGTTGTAATTGTATATATATATACACTGTTTAACTTCGTTACTTGAAAATAGTTGGTCATAGATGCCTAACTTATTTATCACTTTATTACAGGACATCTAAACCATCAAACAGCTCATCATTTGTTTCCTGGAGTTATTCAGTATCACTATTCAAAGATAACTCCTATCGTTCAACAGACATGTAAGGAATTTGGAATCAATTATCATTACAAGGACACATTTACAGAAGGAATTGGAGCTCATGTCAATCATTTAAAACGATTGGGCCAAGAAGATATCAAGAAGACACAATAAGTCAATGGTATTTTTCTGCTTGCAATCCTGTCCTTGATGATTAACACTCTCTACTTTTGTAGTACCAGTTATATTACTACGATTTCTAAGTTGCTAAGCTATCTACTTGGAAATCTTGATTACTTCAAATCAAAGCATCAATAAGAACTTTTTGTAGAATACATTTAAAGCTTGAAAGGAGACATCTGTACAGTAATTGTATGATGTAGCTTACTAAGCACATTCCTACCAATATCGTATTTTAAAAATTAATTATTTTAAACACTTTAGTTAATTAAGAATACTACGTTCTTCATATGTAGCTATCATTTGACTAAACAAATGAAATGTGCTTGTTACTTGGTGTTAGTTTTCGTGTTAGCTTAAATTCGTCTAGAAGAATATCATATTCTCAACGGGGATGATTTCGAAGGATTGATTTGAGTAGATCATATTTTATAATGTACTGTAATTTGTTATTTTGCCACATATATCGAAGAAAGTGCAATTTATAACTTGACGCATAGCTATGATACGATATGGTCATATAAAAACAAGGTAACTAAAAGCTTGATATTTGTATTACTGTGGATCTTTGCATGAAATTTTATGCCATTATAATAGCTATTAAGGAAACGCAGATTGCATTTGATGTAGTAGATAATTTCTTACGATCTACTGCACATACAGTACTTGATAGAAAAGAATTGTAAAGTAACGTTATGGTCAGTGCAATTCCTTCTTTATAGCGAAATATGGTATTTTATACAATTCAATCTATGACGAGTAGTCCTGCTACGACAACATATTGCAATCATTCTGCAGCTTCTAGCTAGTCTGTTTATCGGATTTGTCTGTTGATTTGTCTACAATGAAGCAAAAAAGAGTAAAGTGTAACTTTTCTAGGAAAGGCCTAGAGTTAAATTTACCATCATATTCATACGCGTATGTTAGCATGCTGCCGCGAGTAGAATTGAAGTTCAAGCAGGAGATATTCATTGCTGTACAGTATAAGGTATAAAGTTACTGAACCTCTGTTAAATGAGCACATTATCGTAAACCGTCAGTAAAGCGACGGGAGTTTGCACTAGTATTATCTAAAACGCAATGCTATTAATTTGTACTCTTCCATCATTCTTTAATCTACCGCGGCAGTTGTTGAACATGAATAGACAACTGTAAGACAGTGTATTATTGTATTCTAAGTTGATGATATATTTAGTAATGTCTACCGTAGGTGTTGTGTTCAACATGTGATAGATATTCTCGTTAGAGGCTTAAGTATTAAATATAGCTAGCTTAGTAACTGTAATCCTTTTGAAGAGGAGCGCTACAGTGCTCACACTAGAGCTTCACATGAAAGGTGTAAACTATCCTGTATTTGAGATGCTAATACTGAAGTGTGTAGTAAGTAAGGTGCTAAGACTGTAAACGCGGAAAAGTATATAAGCGAGTAGTTAGTATAGCAAGATAGTTCTTTCTCGTTAGAGGTCCTCAGCTAATCAATTACGTTGTATCTTCGTAAAGGAGGTTTTGTTCAATAAATCTTAATTTTCTAAAGTTTTGAAGATTCTTGATCTATCAACCTCACAACATAGTTCCGTTGTATATTTATATTGGCTAACTCTGATTCCATCACTTATCCTATATAGTTGTATAATTTAGCGATGTCAACTACGCGTTGGACTTACGTCATCACCTAGAACAACTTGATTGAGTAGTTCTCTAAAATATTACTTCCAAGAATTGTTTTACGCCTTTATGAAAATTATTGCGCTGAGCTATTGTAAGTTGCTAAGATGCTACAGTATATTGGAAGATGACAGAGCCAACATGATCTGCAAATATATCATCTCAACAAGAAAAGCGATGAGATTTATATTTAGGAAGGCAAATGTGGCAGGTTGTTGGTAGGTAGTTTAAATTCCTTGTTGCAAATCATAGTAAGCAATGTAAGGCTTTATGATAGCAGTGATGTAAACATGAAAAGGATTCCAAAGCGAAAGATTGATGCCACTAAGGAAACAACACTTAACTCATAGTAAAGATTTATACTTAAGAAGGCAGGAAGTATTAGCTGTAGCAGTAAGCTATTTCAAAATTTCAATCATGTCGGTCCCATATCCCTAATCCTAACCCTAACACACATTCATCAATCAGGTCTAGCTGCAGCAGTAACCCATTTCAAAATTTCAATCATATCAGTCCATATCTTGACTATAAGTGATCTCTAATGATGGAAGCAATAGCTTTTACTGTTCACTAAATAATCATTAATTCGATGTTAATGCTGTTAAATTCAATTAACGAATATATATGATAATACGTTATGACTTTCATTCAAATAAAGCTCTACTATTACAGTAGAAAAGATTACTCATAATTATTGGTATTCACTGAATAAACAAGATGAGATACGTAACCGATTAAATATTATTTAAAGGTAATTGGCCGGAATTGGAAATAATTTGAACATCGCAAAACATTGTGAAATGGAGATGTCGATCAAGGTGAAAACAAAGCCATTATTCAGTACTGATCTACTTTGTAACTGGTTATGTTTCGAAGAGTAGAAAAATAACTCCACATATAATGCCCATTTTTAACGATTGATATTTCCGCCTCGGTAAACTAGGCGGAAGTTAACTAATAAAGAAGAACACTGCTGAATATCAATTAAGGGTAAGGTTACGGGAATATCGAAATCGAGATAGACTAGAAGACTAATACGATAAGAATTCTTTATCTTCGACATTTGGTTGAGTTACTTGAGAAGCAGCAGGGTAGAAAAGTAATTATAGAATACAAGCAATTACTGGAGTTAAAAATATTATAATAGACTTATTCGTTGATAGCTCAGTTTACAAGAAGACTGCACTTGGTGATGACAGTATGCTTCAACTTTCCCAACGATGGTAAAAATGCAATGATAATGTATAGGCTAGCCCAATGAATTACTTAACCCCTAGAGCAACAGCATGGATCGAAATTACATTTCCTACCGAGTATTGATTGATAGACCTAATTGCGGGCCATTTATCAATCATGGTGTAGTAATTATTGATCAAGGCTCTGGCATAGGTATAGTCCAGGCTAAAATCAAGATTCTATTTTAAATTATTAAGCAAAAGTAAATGTTGTTCTGTAATTTATAATGAGTTGCGTAATTCAGAAGAAACCACACCTCCCTTACTGGCACCATCTCTACCTTTCTCACTTATTCCAAGGACTACTAGAGGAAGACATAGGTTATTAGTAGTCCTCGTTTATTCATGATCTATGGTATTGAATATAATTGCTCTGTACTGTGTAATAGATTAATCACTTTCTACTCTCATTTCATACAATTTAGAATAGCTAATGAGTCAAGACTTTCAAAGGCTAAAATAAATCAATATTCCTTTCTTGACTCACATTTTATGGCAATTTGAACAGACTCGACCGTCCATTTTTAAGCTTCTAATGAATCCATATTTTACTCGTTACATTTAAATAAAGAGACAGCTCGATTGTTACTACTTTTCCATTCTTCAATTTGAACTGAATTAGCATTGGTCTCAATTAGCCTCATTTTATCGGCCGTTCTTTAATGATAATCATAATATTATAATAAAAAGCAACTCCCAAGATTTCTATTTATCCATGTAGTCAATTCCGAATGAATCAACACTGCTCTACTTTACTCTTGAAATCAAAACAAGACTCACTACCCCATTTATCCACTTTGAAGCTTCAAATAAATACAAGCGGCCTTTGTTAATCCCACTCTACTCTTGAGATGAAATGAGACTTAGATAGCACTTTTCATCTACTTTTGAGCTCCAAAATAAATCCAAGTTGCTCTTAATAATCTCATCTTGTTCTGTCTATAAAAACAGGCTCTACTATAGTTCTTATCCATACGAGTATACTAAACTGCAAATGAATTAAGACTACCGGTATTTCTTACGGTATTAGCCCGACTTTATCCATCGACTAAAATAAAAACTGGATGAAATGAATCAACATGCCTCTTGTTAGCCCCATCTTACTCTTCCATAAAACGAGACTAAACTGTCTATGTAGAAAATTGATCGTACCCTTGTAATGCTTTAATAGGCTCATGGTTGCCATTTATAAATAAGATGACAAGAATTTCCCCTCAATACTTCTAGTCTAGCTACGCCTCTATCTCGTGTAGCCTGTTGCGCTAAATTAGTCCATAAATGATAAAGGCCTTTCAAATATAGTTTTAATCATCAACGCGAGAAGAAGATAATTAGTACATCTACGGTGGCAATGGAGTCCTTTTATGAGATTCTTTTGATTGATAAAGCTATTGTTTATTGATGAATTCTCCATGATCGAGCTGAATACATCAGTTGTAATCAAGAAGCGATTAAAGCCAGAATTTATGGCACAATAATGATTCTTAAGGTGTTGCCGTATTTGTTTTCTACACTATTGGTGTATCCAACTTGCATCCCGTCTTTAAGATGACGATTCTGGGCGAAAATGGGCAAGACTAGACTGTACGAGTAATTGATTCCATCATCGTCCACTGGTAGCCTCATATTGCTAAAATCCAAGCTAAATTTTCCTGATATTGGGAGTTTTATTTCATCAAAGTAGTCAAGGATTATTCCTGATTAGCCTGAGAATACTGTCATTCAAGGTAATGGATTCAGGTTAAGCGATGGCACGTCTTCCCTTCGACTGTAACCAGTCCTGCCACGATAATGCATCTGTTGACAGTGAATTGGAATTTCAATGATCATTTTCCAAGAATTAAAGAATATAAAAGATGACTAAGGCCATTATAAAGCCAATTATCCCACTTCTATCCAGTTATTTGCATGTCAATAGGAGTGCACTCTTTCTATTACCATTATCAAGTTCCTTTCACTACTGCAACATATTCTTATTCTTTTAGCATGACAAAGACCGTTCTAAAATTGACGACGACAAAATAATAAGCTATGTAACCAATTGATTTTCTCGCCTACTTCCTTATTGGTAATCAATTAGACTAAAACTTTATCGAATCTAGGCAACATCCATCGAGTAGTAAAATGGACAGTCTATTCGGTGTGGATACAACCCATTTTTGCCCTGTCAAACTATTCATAAGATGTATCCATATAAATAGCGCTATTGTTATGAATTGGAATAAAAAGTGTCTATTTATGAATCGTTGCGAGCTTATTTTCCTGCTGTTGACAGTCATCGACCTTCCGGGTTCCACTAAATTACAAAACGGTAAGCATCCCATCTTGTCATACCAATGCTATGCCCATCATATTGATGTCTATTTCCACTCATCAATCATCGCTGTAGGCCATAATTGTATTCTCTATCAGCAGATTGTAATTTGATATTGCCTAAATAACTTGTTGCATCCATTGCCAGTATTCCAACAAGACGATCCTTGGCGATTGACGGAAACCAATTAATTCTCTTTCTATCCTTATTTTAGTGTTGATTTAATCTAATATTGATTCCTTATACCTCTTATAAGCTTTCCAACTTCACCCCATCGGAATATCAACGAAATCATGACCACCACTATTCACAATACATCGCAATTGAAGAACTTGCCTGATGTACAGACCCGTGCTCTACTTTATGCTTTTTCCGTGCTTGACGATGAAAGTAATGACGGTAAGTCTGGCTATAACTTGTTTTTATCTGATGATTGATCATCATTCGATTCTTTAATCTAAACTTCAATGAATTTCTACTCGTTTTTTATCATGGAGTCATCACTCTCACCTAGTTAGCGAAATCACTTTTTCTGTAAGGGTTAAGGAGAGTCAGCAATTGTTTCGTTTTGACGAGCAATCCAAGTACTGCCAATACCTTCTCAATTTGCAAAATAAAGCAAATTCAATTTATTACCTACACGCAAAATGGATAACCTATGTTCTGTCTATAAAAAAAGCGATCCTTTACGAATATTCTACGGTCATAATAGAGCTGTAGAAATAAACTGTATCTTCATGATCGGTCTTATATGACAGTCAGGAAGAATCAGATAGTTTCGAGCGATATCGAGTTAGTAAAAGACAAAATTAGCAATCATCACGTTATTTTATACATAATTTAAAACTGATGTAGAATCCGCTTTACATCCAATATTTAGCTAGTTTTCTTCTACTCATATATAGCAATATTACAAGGATAACTGATCAGTGCTTTAAATAAGGATATCATCATGATCTTTCGATTCTTAAAGATAGAAATCACCAAGATATTTCACATGTCCATTGAAAGCTTTGTTACTCGATTGTAATGCAAATCTATGTATCAAAGAATCAAGTTGCTTTTAACATATCCATAAAACCCATATCTAGTCATTTATCATTCCATTATAGTGTACGCGCCATAGAACGTGGGGAATCCTAGATATCGTACTGTACAATACTATTTACGGCTTATCTACATCTTATCTACATCTTATCTACTGTTACTAGATTAAGCTTGGCAAGATCACATAGTGCTGTAGATCATTAATTTAATGTTTAAACCTGGCTAATATCCTCATATTCCCTACTTCCGCATTCGTCTATATTGATTCCATTTAGCATACAGGCTGGTATTTTCCTAGTAGTCCATGCTACAAACCAGGTAATATTTTTTTCTTTGCGGCCTAGTGTTCCTTCGTTTGTATGGAAAATAATCTTGTTGGATCCTTCTTTAGACAGCGAGATATAATAAGAATTGACTATGAAGGGAAAAGTCACCCCAGTCCTTTATTGCGATCTACTAAGGCTCTAGGCCAAGATTGCTGAGATCAGACTATTACATGAGAAGATTTACGATAGAGTTATTAATACAATCGATAGAAGGTAACTTGATATTTAGGCACTTAGCTATCTTCCGATTTTCTACTGCCATGTTCGGTTTTATCTTCCATTTCCAACTTACTCCAAGCCATGTCAATCCTTTCCTGTGTACCTTGGCCTTTTAACTTTGTAGCCTAAGCTTCCTTCACGGCCCGTTTAAAATAATCTCATTGATTCCATCTCTAACTAGCAAGAAATAATAGTAAGAATTCACTAGGAAAAGAGAAGCCGTCCTAATTCATTGTGCGATCTATTTTATCTCTAGTCCAAGGAATTTGCTATTAATTCGAAAGATAAATGATAGATGTGTAGGCTTAGCTATCCGCATTTGCTTACTTCCGTATACGTCTATATATTCAATTCTAATTGATTACAAACCGTGTAAGGTTCATCTTTGGTCGAGTCCGATATAACTCAAATTAGATTTCTACATTATAAAATCCTAAATATGGAAATTAGTTTCTTAATATAGTAGATAGAAGATAATTCGATGCCTACGCTTAGCCACCTCTCATATTGCCTACTTCCATATTCGTCTACATCTTAAATTCGAATTTATTACAAGCCATGTAAAACTTTTCCGATCATTGATCCGCGATTGCGATCTATTTAGCTCTAGTTTAAGATTGCTCACATCAGATTTCCATGATATAGAACTCCAAACAGAGAGCTTTGCTAGTTCAGATAGTAGATAATTTGACGGTTAGGCTTAAGTTATTCCTCTCCATTTCCTACTACTGTATTCGCCTATATCTTTAATTGTATGCCATGTAAAGCTTTTCCTCTATACAATAGCAATAAACTTTGTGGCCTAAACTTTTCTCCATTGCCTACCGAAATTAATCTCGTTTATTTCATCTTTATAAAGCGGGAAATATCAGAATGATTAACAAATAATATTAGTTTACCACTTGATACAAAACTAATTGTAAAAGAATCAATTTCTAAAGAGATAATTAATTATTGATTAAACTATATCAACTATCATTAATTAGGAAAAGCCAACCATAGCCAAATATCTGTGATTTGCCAAAGCATAGAGAGTGAATTCCGCACTGGTTTCCCCTTCGATCGCTTATATAATTACGCTGATGATCAGAAACGATATGATTTCCTCAGTTTGAAGAAATATTTAGAAGAATGCTGCCTGGATCGAATTCCGCATTTCGATGATAGCAAGTTCTATAAAGTTTGCTGGGATTTCTATCGTAATCATGGTCAGTTTACCAGCAATATGATATTATAATCCTAGTTTTGTCTAAACTTTCCGTTACCATCTAGCCTTCATAATGTTTCTACACTAGTTCATATTGTGTTCAGTCCAACCCTAATGCACCAAGATCATCTTGAACTTTTGCAGATCACAATTTCATTCTATGTTGTTTCTTGACAGATAAATCTGACCACAATGTGACAAAACTTAAGGCGGATCAGTTATTTAAATTGTGGCAAATTTGCAATGTCATCAATGATCAAACGAATTGCACCACTATTGCTATGGTTGATCTTGTTCCTGTCTTTCAGAAAATTGCTCGCACCCTCGGTGTGCAATGGAATGCCGATGAATTTTATTTGCATCCTCGTCGAGCTGATTTCTGGAAAGTGATTGATGAATTTGGATGTGGTTTATTTGTAAGTAAATTGCAAATATCCTGCTATAGACATCCATCAAACCATGATTCGATTCTATCTAGCCATTCGATCTAATCATAATATCTATCCTCGATATTGAGCATAGGTTAGCGTTGATGATGAATTAATCGAAGAAATTGTCTGCAATCTTTATGACTTTTACGTCTTAAATATTATTAAAGTTGGCTTTCTAAGCAAGAGAGGTCATCGTATGACTAGTATTAGAGATCGTTATTTCATCTTGAAGCACAATGTCCTAGAATATTATACTGAAAACTTGAGGGAAAAGAGAGGTTTGTCTGTTTTCAACTACTAGGACTGTTAGTAACTTCTCCAATCTGGCTTTTTCTTGAATGGATGTACAGCAGATTTTAACATAAGCGATAGATAATTGTAATTATTTCTATCTTTGACTTCAATATTTTACAACGTCATCCTTGTTTGCACTGCAGCATGTGGAAATTAGAATTCTCATTTCATACAGTAGAATAAATTAAAGTTTTATTCATTCTCCTTGTCGTGTATGGTTGATAGCCCTACAAGTGAGCCATTTCATCACATTAGCCATAATCAAAACTTACTTCATTAAGACTTACCGTTTTCCTTTATTCCATATAAATAAGTCTCACTCTAACCGTATTTTGCGGTGACTTAGCCACGCTACCATGAGCATTAGCTTTCATTACCCCTATCTAAACTGAATAAATTGATCTTGATATTGTCCATTATTGAGATTCGTCAAATAGAGCATTCAATTATTCTGTGTAATTTGTATACTTTTAGGAAGTATTGCAATCAATCAGTATACTACTGTGGAATCCAAACCAGCTGAAGGAGGGAAATATTGGTTTGCTGTGACTGACAACAATACTGGAATTGTTTATGATATTTATGCCGTGAGTTATCGATTAAAGATAGATTGGATATATGCAATTCAAACTGCTATCGCAGCGAATCAAAAAAAGAAACTACCAGCTCAGATCCATATTGAACTCGATCGCGAAATGGCTCGTGGCAAATTGTCTGCTTTGCAGTTGAAGGAAATTCAAGCTAAATACAAAGCTTTACTGACAGTACAAACTGATGTAAGCTAGCAACGTAAAAGTATTATACAATGAAGGTTATCCTGTGGTATAATAATTCGATATCTCACAGTTTCCAACCATTTTACTGGAGACTCAATCGTCATTGATGCTAACTATTAAAATTAGATATCATTTAAGGGATGTGTGTCTGCAAATTGATACAATCTAGCTTATGATAGCATTATGTAGTGAGAGTTATACTGTTGTACAATAATCGATCGTTGAAATCTCACAGTTTACAACCATGATAATCTCCAATTAAGAGACAGGGTTGCAAATCGACCTAAGAGAACGATTAGTGGTATTATACAATCAGGGTTATACTGTAATATCATAATCGATCTGAAATTGATTATCTCAAAGTTCACAATTGCTATAATTTAACAGACTTATGGCTACAACAGATAGAAGCTAGCTATGCATAATTTCGTATTTAATCAAGCTTATACCATAATCGATCTGATATTGAATATCTTATAGTTCACAATTGCTATAACTTAATAGACTTATGCATGCTAACTGACACAAACTAGTAATTATACAGTTGCATATTTAATGCGGGTTATACTATCATATATTATAATTAAAGCGAAATTGGATATCTTACAGTTCATAGCTGTTTTAATTTAAATGACTTATGGTTACAAGCTGACATATACTAGCAATGCATAATTTCGTATTAATCAAGATTATACCGTAATATATCATGTTCGATCTGCAATTGATTTTGTTATAGTTCACAATTTAAAAGACTTACGACTACATATTGACTTGAAACAGGAATATATAACTTCATATTTAATCAGGCCTATTTTGTAATATAATTGATCTGAAATGAAACGTCTTACAGTTCACAATTGTTATAATTTAAAAGAATTATGACTACAAACTGATATATATCAACAATATATATGGTACAGTAGTTTCGTATTTAAACAGGACTATACTGCAATAATAGAATCGATCTAAAATTGCCTATCTTACTGTTTACTATGCTTATATTCGTAATTATCGATCTAAAGTTCGATATTTTTTTTAAATTTACAGCTGCTTGGCTGAAATCTTGATCATCATTTATGTTAATCGTTTAAAATCTGACATAATTAAGATATATATGAGTGTAAACGGGTGTAATTTGGCTAAGTGTTATTTTGTGTTGTGGACTATACTGTGAATCATGCATGGTCCGCGATTCGATATCTACGGTACACTACCATTATAGCCTTAATTTTCGTCTATTCTAACTCTTCAAATTAGATAGAATTCACGAGATATGTAACTACATAATCTACAACTTTCTTCAGGTTAATCAATAGTAATGGACTACTCTACTGCATTAGTCCATTTCTTTATAGTTTAAGCAAAATTGCACAATTTTCATATTCAGAAGTAGTTTAGAGAGGTATTCGTACTAACCTATATCGACTAATAAGGCGAGATGTGTTCTATTTAGAAATATTATTGTTTGATCGATAGTTATATACGCGTAAATAAATTTAGTGTGGATCTAAACAATTGATATTGCTTGTGAGCATAGCTAAGAATCCTATTGGTAGAGAAAGTGATGGAACGAATTAGAGAAGAAGTTAGCTCTTTCTAGTTGTCTTTACTTAGTTGTACAATTAATCGTGTGATGCAATAAGGTCATTTTGATAGTATTACAAAAATTGTTGGGTTCCAAATTACAGAAAATTCCATAAAGAGCTTTTGACATAGATACGCATATAGTCTTTAGATATTACCCATCTTAAAATATAAGTATTCTATATTAATAATAATCAAGTAGCCTAACATGCTATTTTCATCTTTTTCTAACTCCTTATTATTAGCTTGCAATGGAAAGTGTTGCACGTGCTGTTGCTGAAGTAAATCTCATAGAAGCTGAAGAGCAACGCGAATTAGCTGAGAAGCAATTGCATGCTGAGCGAGAAATACGACTTAAGGCTGAGGAGGTAAAAGAAACGTAAATGTTACCATCTGTACCTTGCATTATAAGAAATGGAGGCAAAATCTTTTGGTGTTCTCAATATTGCAGTCAGAATAACTAATTTGTCTACATAAGAATGATTGATAGTTTACAATAAATATAACGTAAACGATCCTCTTACATCTTAAAACTGAGAAATATGAGAGCTACATGACTGTATTCTTCGACCATCGGCTCTGGTAGAGTTGGAGAGCCTGTGTTATGAAAATGATTACTCTTCAATGCACTAGACTAGCTAACTCTATCAGAAAAATAGCCCAACCTAAGTAGTCAAATAAACTACTTAGATTACATAGATTGTAGAAAATCGCTAAGAAATCATCTTTAACATATTTAATCCATCTTATTTCGTTAGGAAAATCAAGAGCATAAACAAAGATTAGACAGCCACGCCAAAGAAATACAAGCATTACAGGAATCCAACGTTGAAAAACAGGCAAAATTAGCTCGTGAGCAAAAGAAAAGTGAAGAATTACTACAAAAGAAGTTAGTCAATGAAGAAATGCTACGGCGAATGGAAGCAGAAAAGACGGATTTAGAACAGGTATTACAGATCTAAACTCCTATAGAAAGACTATACAGTATATAGGTATTGATTTCAGCTTTGTCCATATTGACTATTCATCTTTGTTTATCAATTTTTATTGCTATAGTCTTAAATTGCTTTCTTGATTAGAAAGCTCGATCTTCTATCAATGGATAATATTGTATTAAATGAATAATTAAAATTGTATATAGTGAAGAGCGTTGTTAAAATCTCTAATTGTGATTCTGCTATACTAGTTATGGTATAACAGTGACCTATCTCTCTATTTTTTATCTACATAGTGTTACAATCATATTGAAATGCAGCACTGTAGCCTAACATGATACTAAACAGATTCATAGATGCTTTCACATAACTTCTATAAAACATGTATTTAATATACAACTGCGGGCTAGACCGTAGTTTGGTTTTGAACTACTTCAATCAAGTTGTGTTCATACAGAATCATATCTACTCGGAGATATTGGATCAATCGATTCATATATTGCCTATCTTTTATCTTTTAGGCTGTTGCTGAACACCAGGGTTTACTAAAGATAAAAACTGAGGAACTAAAGAAAATACAAGAAGAGCAAGAATCTCGACTTCGGGAAGAGAAAGAATTAAAGGAAAAGCTAGAAGTAATAACAGATGCCAAAGAGAAAAGGAAAAGTTTTCTTCAACTTGCAAACCTAGAAGAAGAATATAAAAATGGTAATACATTATTAAAAAAGACCGAAAACGATATCCAAGGATTAAAGACGAAAGGAACTCATTTAAATACGAAAATTAAAGATTTGAGAAATAAAATTTCCTCCGTGGAAGATCTTAGATTGACTCATCGTGGATATTATGCTGTAGGGCCGGCACCAGTTCCAAAGCCTCGAACAGATCTTGAAAAGAATGGGCTTAAATCATAACTGGCCAACGTGGACCTTATTGATTGCATGTATTTTAATCCTTATTGAATAAATAATATTATTTGTATTGTAGGAAGTAAATGACTATTCATAGTGCCAGGCAAGAGATAGAAAAAGCAATAGCTGTTACCATCCGTTTTGATCGGATATTTCTTGATCATATTATGCTCTTCAAATAGCACTATTTAGCATAGCTACAGCCAATTTTTAACGATATCCACTATTATTTCAACTCATTTATTCTATTTGTTTCATACTGTAATGGAAATATTGTTTAATTTGTTTTCAATCGATGCATGCAATACCATAATAGTTTAACTATTAAACTTTCTCTTTGTTGAACGCAAACCATGAACTAGACGGATACAGCTATTTTTTTACTTTTTATTTTGAAAAATTGATGAAGTGTAGAATCCTTATCGTAAACTTGTATAACAGTATTTTCCTTGTTGAATGAATAGAAGGGTAATTGAATAAGCTTGATCCTTTTGAACGGCATGGATTAAGGTTTTGCTCATAATGGCTTAAGAGTCAGAAATATGGATTAGGAGGTATTGATTACAGACTATGTGAAGCGGATAATATTCATAGTCAATAAAAACTGATAGGACCGATTACCCAAACTCGTCATGGTATCATGCATGATTCATTAGCAGTAGTCATGGTTTTTACTTCTAATATCATTAGGGCTTTAAACACGAATTAATCTTCCAATTTTATCCAAGTGCATCAAGCCATCATCAGCGATTCATGTGCAGTTGTAATTGCTTTCGGTACTTTTAAAACTTTTATACTCTACACAAATTGATCCATTCAATTTCATGCAAACACATTATGGCATCATCAACCGTTCATTAACAGTAGCAATGGCTTTACTTTTGGTATTGTTAAGGCTTTTAAACGCGAATTAATTGATCTATCCAATTTCAGGCATACGCATCGTGGCATTATCAACGATTAATGTAGAGTTGCATTGAGTTTAGATACTGTTAAACGCGAATTGATCTATCTATGTACGTTAAGGATATGAAACACGCAGGCTTACAGAGGCGGGCAGAAGACAGATAAAATAGCAGGTATAATTTTAATGAGATATATAGCTAGATGTAGATATAAATATAGATTAAGAACATGGAATTCGATGTACCATCGAAAACTTTTTTTGGCGACAGCCACAGACCTACAGTACCTTTGGTGATAATTTTATAATACAATTAAAGAAAATTGGCAATATTCAGTATTTGATATTGAGTTAGTTTATCAGCATGTGAGATAAAGTTTCTGCAAAATAATAAAACAACAAGAACGGTTTCTTGTCAACTTCAATTTATGGCATAAATTAGGATCAATTAACAACTGCTAAGGACTATCTAATTGCCATCAGACTATCTAAATTATTCCAAAAAAATTCATCATTTATCTATAATTACAGAATGATTTTTTGGCAGCACAATTCTATAATGCTAATGAAGTCGCAAGATTAGTTCTAAATTGACTATCGTGCAATCTATTCATAATTCACGCTTTTAATTAAGCAGTTACAATATTAATCTCACAGTACTCACATACTTGGTACAATTGAACTATTTATACCTATTTTTACGTAATCTAATAATTTTAATCTTGAGCTGATTTGGAGCTGCATAGTAGCACGAAATTATGATCATTAGTCTTTCACTAATTGCTATGATACAACTTTTAAATTAACCCCAACAATAGCAACAGGAAAATCGAATGTACTAAACATCATCTAGTGGAAATGGTAATTTACTATTGATAGTACTAGATTCTATTCGATAGGTTCTAGTCCATCTGTTCTCATTTTCAAGTTGAGGCTTTATTTCTAGCAAATGAATGTTATAATTTGTCAATGAAATACTTAACTTCCGTTGTTACCCCTTACGATAAGTTAGCAGTGATATAAAAATAAATGACTACTTTAGGTGCTGTTATAAGATTCAAAGTTATCGCAGACCGAACATAAAACTATTCAAGGTTGCATTAATAGATAATAAGGGTAACAGTTTACGGACGAGACTAAATTATCAATTTAATTTATTATAATTGTAAAATATATTGGCTCGCTATGATCATTAGTTACCTAGATCAAATGTAAGCTTAAAGAATTGGAGAGTGCAATTTCTAATGTGTCACTAAATTTTGATTTTACTCTAGATACATACATGTGCAATGCATGCTTCGGCATTATAGCCAGTTAACTTCCCGCAAACAAGTTATTTCGTTTAAACATTTTGCTAAGTATAGTAAATACAGAGATGGATAAAATTCAATTAAACAAAGAAGATCCAAGTTTATATGCGAAAACATTTTAAGTTTCAAGATCCTGGAAACGAAACGCTGCTTCGGGACCGAATATTTTCAAGGTCATTGCGATCCTACGCAGGATGAAGATCAATGATACAGCAAGCCATGTTAAAGAAAAAAATGCGAGAACGGCAGATATCTGAATGAGAAAGTGAGATATTTCAAGCATTTTCATTACAGCAATATCTTCTAAATTTATTTATTAAAATATGCTGTAACCTAAATGGTTAATGAATTGGCTTACAAAAATATATGTGTATAGATGCAGTATTTTGAATGCATGACTATATTAATAAAGTATACGATACAAATCGGAAATCATGTACCGGATCGATATTTCAATAAAGTCCATTACTAAACCTGTTTTGATGTGATCGAAGTAATAGTTCACGGGCATAATGTTGAAAAATTATAACCAAGAATTATAAGGGACTTAAAGGGATAGTTTATAGGTGAACGCAAAAGACTTTAAATGGCATTTTGCATTATTAAGTTGGAATCAAAATATATTTTAAATATACTACAATTGCTAATAAAGCAAACCTTCTAACATTAGAATAATTACCAACTCTAATTTGATTCGTTGGTATTGTAATGAATATATATGTTATATACAAAGCGCCCAAACATTAAATTATCATCATTGAATTATGTAATATTATATCAAATATGCAGTTTTCTATCTAAATGGACAAAGCATCGTTGATAAGATGATTATCGGTCAATTTTTGGATAACTTATCTAATAATAACCACCTCATTGCTAGTAGGTAAACGTTAGTCCAATACCATTGACTGTACGATAGAGTAAAGGATTCTAAATAGTAATCAAGAATTATATTTAACCTGGCACGATAGTTTATACTTCTATGTCAATACGAAGACTTTAAAGTAGCGTTTTGCATTGATAGCTTAGAATTGTAGAATATTTTCAAGGCATAAGCTAATAGAGCTTACTTATAACATCAATGTCATCAGTAACTTGAATTTGATTTGCTAGTATGATAGTAGATGGAAATCTTTTACAAACTAATATAGAAATACAATAACCGGTTGCAATTTATTTTGTCGAACTTTTACATATTAATGAGACTATCCCTTAATTCAATTTTTGCCTCAAGTGAATCACAAGCAAGAGCGTACTTATTATAGAATACGGATGAATCAATTAATGATATGATGTAAGCTATGTTGACCAATAAAAAATCGCTCCTCATTAAAATCAATGAGCCCATTATGATCGTGTATGCTGGCGTATACGAACCCTATCTGCCTATTACTTACCCTATTGCCAACATTAAGCATAATACGCGTTTAGAATTTGGTTTAGTTAATTAATAAATAACATAACCTAAACTGTCTTGACCAATAAAAAATCGCTCCTCATTAAAATCAGTAATAATTCATTATAATCGTATTATGCAGGCGTATACAAACTAATCCTAAGAGCCTGTTCCTTACCCTAAACATGATTTCTTATAGTTTTGAATGTTTGAATTGGTTTACGATATAATCGATATTCAAGTTTTATATTGATATCAATGATGATATAGTGTAATAACATTAATCAGTTTAATTACAAGACTTTAAATTAAAATTAACAGCTATTAGACAGCTTATGCTATTAAAGTATTACTTTTTCCTATGAATTCACTTTCTAGCCACAGTTTACTTAGTCAGTTTCTTCGTATCGATAAATAATACTTGGTAATTAAAATGCTATTGTAATATAGATATTCTGCTAGTGTTGTGCTAATTTTTTATTTGGTCTGATGCTTAATATTTAACTAACTTGACGTCAAATATGCTAATTACGGACTTTATGATGAATTATTTGGATTATCCGTGTCTTGAGAAACTAAGTAGACAAAGATATTAATACTGCACTAAAGCATGTGCAATTTAGTCGCTGCTCTCTGTTAACGCTGATGCAATGATGGATGGGCGCTAACAAACGTTAACTAAGTATAAAGTATCCAATTTTATCGACTTGAATCCATTTCTGATTGAGATAGTCTACGAAATCTTCCTGTATAATGAAAGATCACTATTTTAGATGATACTATCAATCCATTCCATGCATAATCACACCATTAAAGTTTTGTTTTAGGTCAAGAATGGTATAGAAAATTGACTTTTTCACGCTCCATCTCTTCATTGAGGTTCAAAACTGAAATATGGGTAATAAATCTACCAAGTCGAGTTTTCGGAACGAAATCAATTCGCTTCATGAAAAGGGTCGGAAATATCAGCAAGAGTGTAATTATGAACAAGCCTTGATTTATTTCAATAAGGCTATAGCTCAAATCAAGTCGAAACATCATAGTAGTAATCGTCTTTATCAACTTCAATATTATATTTACTTTGACATGGCTGACTCCTATAAAGGGCAAAGTCAATGGAAGGAAGCTAATGAATGGAGTCAAAAAGCAGAAAACTTGGCAGAGAAATTAAAGGATAAAATCAAGATTGCAGAGTGTATCGATAGGCAAGGAGATATCAAACTACTACGAGATGATACTGATGGCGCCCTGAATGATTATAAGAAATCGTTTAAAATGAAATTGAAATCATTAGGCATGGATAGCATCGAGGTCAGTGAGTCCTACAGTAATATTGGCCTTGCTTACAGTAAGCAAGGCAAGTATGATGAAGCCATAGCCATGTACGAAAAATCGCTTCGGTTTCAACTATCGATTAAGGGCAATGATCATCTCGATGTTGCTGAGCTCTCTCATAATATTGGAGACATTTATAGCAAGCAGGGAAAATATGATGAAGCATTATCCGTGTTGGATAAGTCGTTCAAAGCCCAATTGATCAAAGTTGGTGAAAATCATCCCAGTATTAGTATCTTCTACGATAAATTTGGTGGAATTTACAAGCATCAAGGCAAATATGATGATGCACTATCGATGTATAACAAATCACTGAAGATTAAACTAGTACAACTGGGTGACAATCATCCAAATATTGCTATATCCTATCATAATATTGGGCTTGTCTGTAGTAATCAAGGCAAGTACGATGAAGCTCTATCCATGTTGAATAAATCACTACAGATTCAACTAACAAGACTTGAAAAAGACGATCTCTATATTGCAACAACCTATCACAATATTGGAAGTGTTTATGAGAGCCAGGGTAAACATGACGATGCACTGGCTATGTTCCATAAATCGCTCGAGATTCAGTTGACCATCTTTAAGGATGATCATCCAAGTCTTGCTAGCACCTATAACAACATTGGAGAAGTTTACAGCTATAAACACAAGTACGATGATGCTTTATTAATGCATAGTAAATCGTTAAAGATTCAACTAGCAGTTCTTGGAAATCATCATCCTGATATTGCTATGTCGTATAACACCATTGGGCTGATCTATAAGCATCGATACAAGTACAACGATGCTCTAACCATGTTGAATAAATCGCTCAAGATTTACCTCGATTTCCGGGGCGAAAATCATCCCGATGTTGCAATGTCGTATAACAATATAGGAGACGTGCATCGGCTTCGAGGCAATCTTACGGATGCTCTGTCCATGTATAGCAAATCACTGCAAGTTTGTTTAGCAACAGTGGGTGAGAACCATGCAAACACTGCGCAATTATACCGAAATCAAGCAGAAGCCTATCGTCAACTGTCTAAATATTCGCAGGCAATCTCCTGTCTGCAAAAGTCCGTCGCTATTTTACTCAATCTCTATGGAGAAGATCATGCTCAAGTGGTTTTGGATAAGCAAAGAATTGCCCAATGTCACGATCAACAACGCAAATTGGAAGAAGCTGCAAAGCCATGACGATTGATCATCGGCCATCATAACTAAAAGTAGGAAATAATTATAAAGCATTGCTCCTGATACAAAAATCTATAAAAATGAATACAAGCTATGCGTCGCAATCCGGCTCAAAAACAGCCACTGTCGAATTCATTTCTTCAATCTAGTACAGTCGGAAATGCTTTAGTTAGTAATAAAGTTGAGACTAGCCATTTTAATTCAAATACGCGTAGCCATAGAACAGTACCTTGACATAGGCGGCTGCATATGCCATTGAATTAATGGAATCGCCTTGTCTTCCTTATTTTATTAACAATCATTAAATTTTGCATGAAGCTTTATAGAGTGCATTTTGATCTTTTTTTCCGTAAAACTTATAATTATTTTTTAGATTGATTTGAAACATGCTGGTTCATTGTAAACGACTAATTTTTTTTTTTTTACTGTTCGTCAAATAATAAAAGCAGAGATTAAATTAATCTTTAAACTTAATCATCACAGGTCCATTGCATGCTAGGCCAATTCTACGAAACGTTTATGTATAATATAATCAATCAATGTTATTCAAATTGGAGATAATTTTTCATTCAAATACAGTCTAATTGCAATATACTGGTAGTTTGCTAGAGATCAATCTGAATTATATTCACTATGTGTTATTATAGCTATTAATTCACCTTAAGCAGAACGATAATATCTTGTTACTTTTGATTGATGTACTCAACTCGAACACCATATAAGTGCCTCATCGTAAACGCTATTAGGCACAAGAGTGATATTTTTATTCCTCAGATTTGGTAAAGAAGCTTTCAGTGATTTTCCTAGCATTATACAGACTGCTTTCTTCCTGGTTTTTCCACTGGTCTAAGTTATTATATTGATATAGACTGCGATTTTACTATTGTTAAAGAAATGATACGCTGAGTCATGTAATAATTTTAGAGTGCGTTTAATAAATAATGGTCAAAACAGATCTTGATGTTACATAGATGAATACAATATGGTCTAAACTCCTCCATTTCAATCTTTTAATGATAACTTTATACTGGCTAAGGCTAAAAAGAGGTCGCTTTTCGATATCCACCTATCGCGACAGATAGTATTACTTGGGCTTAAAATCAAGTTAGGAGTGTTTTATATCACTGTTAGAACGGGAAAAACGATAAGGAAGAGACAGCCGTACAGAAATGTTGTGTAGTATTAGCATGGCCAATTAGACACTAAACTGTACTTGATATAGATATAGTTATAAATTGATAATTAAACGAAAACGACAAACGCTAACTCTAGCCCATATATCTTAGCTATTTGTAATGCATGATTTGCCAGATTTTGTCAATTATAGCGATAGGAATATATCCTTTGCTAGTAGTGGTAGAATAATGAATGGGAGATACTTTTCATGGAATTATCTTAAGTAGTATTCATATATATGTATTGTGATTATATAACGGTATGCCTCGGCAAGATTATAGCAGCTCTGAAAGTTGCTGATGAACTTTTATGACTATCCTAGGATTAATGTAGTGAATTGATTTTTAGATTGACTATAAATTAACTATCATATGAAAACAAGGCCATAAATTCAACGTATGTAGGCAATATAGTCTATACGATCGTAAATTAACTATCATATAAATATAAGGCCATAAATTCAACGTAGGTAGACAATATAGTCTATATTCTTTTTTCTTTTGATTATATAAAGATTGTTAGTTCGATAATCTGTGAGGTATATCTAATAGCAATTAAGAATTATACAAGAAATAGGAATCGATAATAGGTTCAATAGGTTCGCTCGAGTTAGAGTACTGTGGTCATACCAAGTACAATTCAGTAACAGTATACTGTATAGTTTGCAAGCAATTATGAAAGTAATAACAGGAGTAAATTAGATTGTAAAAATAGTTACAACCGAGATAGAATTAGAAATTAATCGTTTCAGTAGCTTGCATCCAGTGATAGGAAGTTAGGAGTTAAAACATGATGAGAAACATACATATTAGCCTAGGCTTTCGATACACGATGATTAGCGAGTGGAGTGATGAATTAAAAAACTGTAGTCGTTTATCTCACAATCTTTACGCTTTAGATGTTTAGCTCATGCTGTTGACGAGAAAGGTCTTAAAATAACAGTGCCCACTTATTTATTTTTGGCATAAAATGACTGTTGAATATCAAAATCGATAGCAGTCTATAGGCCGGTCTATTCAGCATCATGTCTGTTGTATAAATCAAACTATGGAACACCTCATCAATAAAATAGTTATTTTCTCTCTTCCGAGACTAAACTTTACAATCTGAATTTCAGTCAATTTACAGCCTCAATTGTTGGCTTTTAATAAAATGAAATGCATTCATCAATTCGTTTCTTACAAGATACATGTCACAAAGAGAGAGATAAACTTTGTATCGAAGTTGATCAAGTTCTACAGTCCCTTCGGCGATCACTTTCATGTTGTCTAATGCTAGTCTGTAGCACGATACTACTTTATTAAGACTACTGGATTGATAATATTCTAAACCTATTCTCAATAACCATTCTAATTGTTGAAAGCTGATCGACTCAGTAGATTGGTCATTCATCTTTTCCAATTAAAAATGATACAGCCACATCGAGATTGATCTCTACGTCCAATCTAATAGGATATTAAGGCTTCAGCAAGGCTTAATTAATATAGAATTCAAATTGGAGTTTGTTAAATGAATAAAATTCGAGTTGCGCTAGCTATGCATCTGTACGACAGACATATTCAGCTTAAATTATGTGATTCAACGATGTTGCAAGTACTATTATAACACAGGAACTGCTTCCAATGGGGGTTAAATACAGATACTAGTTTTCGCTAGAATCAAGTCTAGAATCTTCTTTATTATAAATATAACTCAATTTTATGTCATCCTTCTGTATCCGCGAGCACCGATAGAGTGTACATAGGACGATAAGTTTACTGAGCTAATAATTTTATGAAGCCAAACAGTCATTTATAAAATAACCCAGTTGCTGATTATATTTATTTATAAAGTTATCATATAATTACTAATTTTATGCAGCTAAGCAATCATTTCTAAAATAACCAAGTTGAGGACTATTTATAAAGTCATCAATTCAGTACTAATGTTATCAAGCAAACCAGTCATTTTTATAACGTTACTCACTTGATGATTATAAAGTCATCGAATCATTACTAATTTTGTAAAGCTAACCAGTCATTTTATAAAATAATATATTTGATGATTACTTATAAAGTCACCGAATCTTTATCAATTTTATAAACTAACCAGTCATTTTATAAAATAACCTAGTTGATGATCACTTATAAAGCATCTAATTATTATTAATTTTAAACAATTAACCAATCATTTCATAAAATAACCTAATTGATGATTACTTAAAGTGTTACGATTGGGCCTTAAAATATAAGAATTCTAGGTACTCCGGCTCTTAGTACTTCACAGAATGCGAACACAGGAAATAACTGACACCGCACTAAGAGGTTTTAGATGTATTTTATTTTTAAAGCTTACTTACAAATATCAAATTCTACAAGAGCTAGTACTTAATCTTTAAAATACGCTTTTAACTTCCAAATATACTGCAAATGATATTGCAGTTTAACTGGAACATTCATTAGTATGTGGCATTAATATATATTTGCAGAGTAGATAAGAATAACAGTTTTATTAGCTCGTTTTATTTCATGTCTATGTAATTGAAGAAACCAAAATCTTGATCAAATATTGCACAATTGGCTAGCAAAGGCAATATAATACCCTCCTAAATTTCGGTATCCATTTTCAGTTTCTAAATGTTTAAGATAAATCTTTTGATGCTATTTCTATAAGGCAATAGGCAGAGAACGTAAGCAAACGGACTATCTAGTATAATATGAATTATTATTAATGAATGCATCTAAGGTGAACAACAATTCGATTACTCAGATATCCATACAGCTAATAACCAAGTAGCTGCAATTAAACTAAAATGAGATGATAATCCAGCACTATCCGATTTACTAGGAAAGATATTGCAATCAAATTGGTCTTCCGTTGATGTCTTTAAGATCGCAGGTAAACTAAAATTAATTCAAATAGATATTATGAATTAATCAGCAGAGAGCAAGATCTCGCAATAAATTGAAATGGCTACTTAAGCTTACCACTTCAGCGAGGAAGTGCATTCTTCTTTACTCCAGCCAAAGCTAATAATTCGATTTTGATCATGATTGCAACTTACTAGAGAGCGACATAAAAAGTTTGTCCATTGACTAGTACAACTTTGTTCAACTCCAACAAGACTATATGCTAATCGCTGCGCATTAATCGCATTTCCTTGTGCTTTTAAAACTGGAACGATCCAAGAAGGTACGGTAATATTTGGTAAAGCGTGGCAATGAACGGAATTAATGTTGGTTATTGCTGGGTTAACACAGGTAGTAAGACTGTACTGCTTGCCGGACAGGCTGCATAGTGCAGCAGAAGTTCTACCAATGGCAGTAAATAAACCTGTTGGGCATGAATTAATTGATTGGCAAGATTTACTTGTGCTCAGGAATGATAATATTCTAAAATCAGAAGAGCATTGGGGTAATAGTCCTTTACAGACAATATCTCGAGCAGCAGTAACACACGCAGAAGTGTATTTAGATGTTTGAGTATTCATATAATCTACGATATAATTCATTTGCTTAGCAGCTGTATCCACAATATACGATGGAACGGAAGCATTCATAGTGTTGCAAAAGGTTCTAACTTTAATGCTGGGTAGTTTGCATGAGTTTAAAGCGCCATGGTCTATTTCATATTTTAAAGAATGCGATGTAACATCTCTTTTTCCCTAATCGAAATAATAGTTAAACTAAATAAGATACCGAGTTTTTTCCCTTAAATTTGGCGATTTTTATATATTTTATTTGACAAGAATACTATAAGTCCATGCAAATAATAAATTACTAAAATACAAATTCTTACACTTATTAAATCTAACATATACTTAAAGGTAAAAAAAATGAGATACATCACTCTAACCTTATTTCCATGGGCTAAAGAATTGAAACCAAGGATTGCTAATAAAATGACAGTAATCGCTTTCATTCTTTTCAGTTCACTGTATCGTTAATCTTTTCTCCCTAGTATTGCCAATATAAAAACATAAATTATATTAATTAAAGCCAGAAATAATGAAATTAGAACAAATTTCAAGTGACTAAGTACACAATTGAAGAAACATTTACTTGACATTCAATAGAATAAATAGCAAAAACACCATGTTGTAGTTGGAGTTTTGCAACACATAAGGTTGCTGTATGAATATAAAAATATCCGAGAGTGTTAATGATTATAGATGTGATCTTGCTATAATGTAAAATGTCTATGATCAATTTGGCAATATTTGATATTTGTTCATTTTTCAGCAACACAGTTAGTACAATGGAGTCTGTAATTGCTACCAAAATTAACATTATAGATGTAATTGCTCGACAATTTATTTATTCGACTTGGAAAAGCATTTACCAATTAATGTGCATTGCTTTATTTTATCAGCCCCTAGACGAGACGGATTTCCTAAATATCTTATTTTCCATTTAAATTTTACGATACAGCATTAAATGGATTTTATAAACGATTCAGGAAAATAAAATGAAAAAAAAGATATTATACTAGACTAGATAATGGCCTTGTTTGGTTCATTCGCACATTTACGCGTTTAATATTCTGCTACAATACGTTGTATACTGCGTTTATTGGCAGTTATTTGCAATTTATTTATTTTGGGATATTTTTTATCATGCTCAATCTATCGGTATTACCTAGTGCGACAAAACATTTTTTCGTTTTGACAAAATACCAATATCTAGCAATATCAGTTTACATTATAAGAGGCTATAAAGGTAGATTAATAAAAAAATTAAAATTAATCTTCTATGATTAATTATTTCTAAATCAAAAATCATAAATATGAGTAAGTACTTTTGTCGATCTAAAGATACAATCAACAAATAAAGCGGATTAAAAGTAATGAAGGTGTTACCGTTACTTAGAGATTAAATAATCAATCATTAAGTTATCTTATACCGAAATTGAATATGATCATTACGTGCTATGTCAACAATTATGAGATTGTTAATTTCGAAATCGCAACTTGGCTGATCTGAAATAACAAAATGAATCTTACTATTAAGAATTTAGTGTCTTTATAAAATATTGACTAGAAAAAAGTTTTAGTCTACGATGGCAGCAGCTACTTACATTATAGGCATAATTTAAACGCAAAAAATAAGTGCATTTGATAGTTCATGTAAACTACCAATATATTATATTGGCATACTTTGG